CCTCATGCTGGCTCAGGAATTCTGGGAGTTGAAGTCCACGAGTCATGAAAGAGCCAAGGTTGCCTACCCCTGGGCTATTTCCTCCATGCAGGTTGTGGGAAGGTACCTTCAAAGGGACGTCCAGTGCGTAACTTCATGGGATCGAGGAAGAATTGAACAAAGACATAGAAAGCAACAAGCAGGATTAGGAGAAGGCCCAGGATGGCAGATATTACACTGTTCAGAAACAGCCTGTCAAAGAAACAAAGGAATGTTTAGCATCTTCATAATGAAACACAAGGGAAATCAATTTTCAGCCACGGCTGTCACATTTAGCAATGAGCATCTCGGGCAAAGAAACTGCGCCATTCCTAACCCTGACAAGATGTACAGGTGGTCCTCGAGTTACAACAGTCCATTTAGTGACTGTTCAAAGTTACAACGGCACGGGGAAAAAAATGACTTATGACACCTACAAAAATGACTTATGACTTTTCACACGTACAACCATTGTAGCCTCCGCACGGTCACGTGATCAAAATTCAGAGGCTTGGCAACCGATTCGTCTTTTTATGATGGTTGCAGCGTCCCGGGGTCATGTGATCCCGGGTTGTGACCTTCTGACAAACAAAGTCAATGGAGGAAGCCAGATTCACTTTACAACCATGTTACTAAATGAGCAAAAGCAGCGATTCGCTTAACAAATGTGGCAAGAAAGGTCGTAAGATGGGGCAAAACTCACTTAACACACATCTTACTTAGTAGTATAAATTCTGGGCTCAACTGTGGTCGTAAGTCAAGGAGTATCCGTACAGTGAGGGCTACATCCTGCCTGACTCTCTTATACTTTTTTGCTCATCTAGCTCAGCAGAAGAGGGTTAAGGGCTCCCATAAAATCCAGAGACATCTACAGTATAGCATGTTCTAGAGTGGAACTCTAATTTGAGAAGTCTGCATGTAACAAACCATTTTTGTCACATCCAATGCAGGTTGCCTCAACACTGCACGAAGAATACAATGCTTAGCTTTTACTGGTCAAATCACCAACAGAACATCCAGGTATCTCAGCCAGGAATCAAAAACAAGCAATACAAGGCTCTACGATTCTAGAGTGTGTATCCTTTATATATTTCTAACTATGATCTTAAGTATATTCCCTACAGTAGTGGCCAAAATTGTGGAAACCTTTTGGGAAAAATGTATTTTTGAGGTTTGATGGCTAATAACACCACTTTTGTTTTGGAGTAGTACCATAAAACTATATATCAATGGAAAGATAATTTAATCAAGAATGTAATGCAACATAGTTTGTTCAATTATCTGTACTGTATTCTATGAAAGGTTATAGCCAAATAACCAGAAAAAGGAAGCACAACTTGCTTAGGTTGATCTCAGGTAGCTTTCCTTCATCTGATTGTAGCCAATGAGCATGAGTGTTTAGGTGTTTAGGTGTCATCTTGTTTTGGCAATGAGCCAATCAGATCACAGTAGGATTCAGTTATTGATGTCCTGTATTGAAGCTGAGAGGAGGACATTTGTCAGTGTGTTATGTGATGGCTATCAAGTCGGTTGGTTTTTTTGTGTTCTTTCATTTAGTGAGCTTGTAAAACGTAATAAAATTAAAGTAATGGTGCAAAGAGTTGACTGGTTGCCCAGAAAGTGATGTAAAATAGTATTATTAAGTGAACAAGGCTACATTTATAAAGAAGTTAGAAGAAAAATTGGTGGAAACTTAACCAAAGGTGGCATTTCTACTGTACACTTTTCCCAAAAGGTTTCCACAATTTTGGCCACTGCTGTATAATGTCATGCAATTTGAAAATGGAAAACACGTATTTAGGCTGCAAAGGCTGAAAAAAAAAAGCTTTTAAAAAGGTGTTGGATTTGTTCAAATGATGTTCACAGGCTTTGCTTAATGGGCTAATGTGTGATAGACAAAACCATACCAATAATTTCTCTCTCCCACACAGTTGTTGAGCCACATGCAGTGATGATCAAAGCCACATACGCATTTGTTACAGGACCCACAATGTTTTGATCTGGAGCTCCTAATAATAAAACAGGGAGAGAGAAAAAAGGAGCTAATTATACTCGGCAGTTGTTTTCCCAGATTAATTTAGGGGGCTAAATTAGATGTGTACCAAAAAAATTAAAAGAGGAAAGAACCAATTAATGCATGTTGTTTTCCAATTAAGTCTGTTCTTACACGTAGAATAATTCCACTAAAAAGCATGTGAGTTCACAGAACTATGAGCTTTTATTTACTGCTGCCTTTCATTCACCAAGCCTGCACTTCTAAGTAGGACTGTTCTAACTTTTTTGATCTTGTAACCGAAATATCAATGCAGGAATTGTGCATTGTGAAAACAGCAGGTCTTACAAAATTTTGTCAACTATACTGCACTACCAGTGATCTCTGGTGACCAGCACAATTTAGTTACCTGGCATCAAGCAAGGAAGAAACAAAGAATTGAGCTAATTTAAAAAATCATGGGTGTAGCTATACTATTGATGGGGGGAAGGTGCAGAGATGAGGGGAAAAGGCACTGCTGGGCGCACTGTTTAAAACCCCAAGTGATTATTTAATTCACAAGGTCATGGTTGAGTCATCTATTATGCTAAACTGCTTGTTTAACCATGACTTACTGAATAAATACAATTGACTGGTTCATACAACAGACGAAGCCACGAGTCACAGTTGACAAAACACAATGTTCGTGTTTACACAATACACTTAACCAAAACCAAACAAACCCCATCATGTTCAGTCTGACATGGGAATCCAGCCAGTTCTATTACAGTCCAGTGACAGTAAACCAAGGCATTATATAATACCAATAGCTGTAAAATACTTGGAAGTTTTCTCTGAGATTTCTTTTTTTTTTTTAAACGAGTTTTATTAATTTTCCAATTTCACAAAGCTCCAGGTATTAAGGAAGCAACATGGTGGTTGGGTAATTCATAGTCCAATAACAAGCTCTTTCATACATATGTCAGGTTACATCATCAAAAATTTCCTCTCTGTTTCCTTTGATTATTATATCACATTCAAATTAATACATTGCTAGTTATAATCCAATCAATTGAAACATTTATCAATATCTTTTGACTTATACGCCTCCATATCCTGTTTTTAACTTTTATCTGATTTCAGTTACAGTATTCCAGTTGGCTTAATGTCCATAGTATTCAGGTTTCGGATAGCCCACGGTTCTCTTAGTTCATTACAAAATAGTTATCATATCTAAAATACACTTATCATTTATTCAGATAAATTCTTACTTTATTTCACAATCACATTCTACTTCTCATCCTAATATCATCACTTACTAATAAAATAACCCTTATCATCTGAATCCATCTTCTATATTATAATTCAAAACTATTGTTCTAGTACTGACTGGTTCGTACAACGCCGATGGTTGCCCGAGAAAGGAATTGGTGCAGTTCACTCATAAACTCCCATAAGGAAGGCAAAACAAATACTCACACATCAACATCACAGATGTGACAGTGGCGATTTTCAATGACATGAGCATGCTGGCTGCGATTGAACGCGGTCAGTGGCCCCTGATAATTCTTCTTTCGCACACTGTCATCGGCCGGGTCAATGGAGACTGCTGTAAGGTGAACTGCTAGATGGCAGAGAAAGAAGACTCCGGGACACTAAACGTGGACAGTTAAGGCTCGTCGCTCAGATTTATCGATATTCTTAAATTTCCATGGAAAAGAATGCCACAAGGGTTAAAAATCCTTTCAGCAAAAAAAAAAAAAAAAGCTTGAAAGATGCAAATCATTGCTTCTTCACAGAAGCCCAGAAAAAAGCACAGGAGAGGCAAAAAGTTATTAAAAGTATTCCGACAGCAAAAGGAATGGTTAACGGAAGCAGTATTGTGTACGCAGGTAGTCCTCGACTTACGACTACAATTCAGCTCAATATTTCTGTTGCTAAATGAAACAGTTGCTAAGTGAATCTTGCTTCCTGTTGACTCTACTCGGTAGGAGGCTGCAAAATTTGATCGCGTGACCCTGGGACGCTGCAACCCGGGGTCAGTAGGCATCAGTGTGTGTCAGTCGCCAAGAAGCCGAATTTTGATCACGTGACCCTGGGGATGCTGCAACGGTCATGTGAAAAACGGTCACAAATCACTTTTTTCAGTGCCGTTGTAACTTTGAATAGCCACGAAACAAACTGTTGTAAGCCGAGGACTACCAGCATTATGAAAAGGGTATACTGCCGTTTAAAGACAACAGATACACAAAATGGGGGAAAGCAGGCAGGAGGTGACAGAAGCACTGGCAATCTTTATGAATGAAAGTTTTTCGCCATTCCTAAATGGTGACCTTTGTGCCCCACGTGGATTCGGGATAACCGCATTTGGGAGACAGAAAGGATACGATGTACCCAGCGGGTACCCAGTGAACGGGCAGGAGAGGCACAAGGATGCCAAAACCAACCAGGGCAAAGAAGAAGAAGAGCAACCAGGCAATGAACTGGAAGGGGTGAGGGGGCCAACTCCAGCCATTTCTCCTGGCATGCTGAGACTGAACTTCAAAAGTTGTTTCAGAAGTCTTCTCTGGGGCTGTCTTGTTAGGTGGCTTACTGCAGATGTTCATCTGCAGGAGATAAGAGGGACAGTAAAAAAAAATAGAAAAGGAAGAATGGAGAAAAACGTATTTTCACTAAAAAAAAAGCTGCAGAAAACATATTTAAAATACAACCCTTTCTGCAGGTGGAACATTCTGTGCAGGAAAGTCTCACAGAGAGGGCGATGCAACACCAGAGACCAAACAGCAACAGAGACCAAACCCATTTAGCCAAGATAAAAATGTCACAGCCTGTCCTTGGAGGCTGACTTAGGCCAGAACTAAATGGCTAAGAACTGCCAGCTGCTAGGCTACCCTTTGGAAGTAAGTGTACAATTTTCTTACATGGGCTCCGAAGTTGTTGCTCTGAACATACATCAAATGGCGTTTCCCACATTCCCCAATAGCTCTGCTTTGCATGTTGTGTGCATGTGTACTGGAAGAGGTAGGGAAATTGTTCCATTACAAATCAAGAGCCTCTCCCATGGGGCAAAAGTAATTTTGAAATGAACCTCATTTTTAATACTCAGACTTTAATAAATAACCATAAAGAGAAGCAGCATTAGGCTCTTTGCAGGACAAAGTGCGAATACATCCAGTACGTTTTCATTAAGAAACCCCTGAATGAAAAACAGGAGATTCAATATGCCACTATACTGTATGTGATATACACTGCAAATGAACAGAAAGCACAGGGAAACATCACACATCACATCAAAGTTTAAATCTGGATTAACTGAAACTTGTAAAGCTAGAAAAGTGCCACAAATCATACGGGCTCCCCTTACCCCAGCCTGAAGATAATTGCCTCAGTCTTACAGTTCAGGCCTCCCTTAATCCAATCATGTAGTTCTTAAAATGTTCTCATAAGGTCCAACAATCTCTTTCTCTGCAGATAAAATAAAGATGAGCAAAATCAGAATGATTGAAGCATTTGGGGGAATGTGAAAAAAGTGTCTCTCTATTTGCTTGGCTTAAGGCTTAAATGCCACTTCCTACCGTAAAAACATTATTTGCTTTCAAAACAATCCAGGAGAAAACAATCTCACACCAATCTGCAGGGCTCTTTGTCCTAGATAACCTTTGCCCACGGAGGAGCAGTTTGTGGGACTGACTCGTTGCCTGCAAATTGCTATCATTATAATAATCCACCTATTCCTAAATTGTGGGGACCGTACAGTGATATTCTACACACCGAAACTGGGCTACAAAACCTGAAAAGGGCACGTTGTCCAATAACTTCACTGGCCAAATGACAAAGCAGAATTTGAAGGACGTGCACACGTGCATGTTTTCGGTTCTTCATGGTCCATGACAGTTTCATGCAAAAATACTGGTTTGGGTTGGCTTCCTTTGTTGTTCATTTGAAAAAAGAGATCCTGTGGCTAAGCAACACTTCCTCTTCAATTCAGAACCATCCATTAAAAGGGTTTTATATATATATATATATATATATATATATATATATATATATATATATGTATAATATCAACGAACTGATCTACGTTTCCGCATTTCTAGTTAAGTACGTTCCAGAACAATAATTTCTGTGTCAGGCCAAGAAAAAGGGGAAGCTCCTCCCTGATAAATAGTTGCCTACGTACCATAAAAAGCGGTGAGTTATTTAGAATGGTTCAGAGGGAAAATGCAAATGCATTTGAGCATATATATCAAAGGCTTGGTTGTAAATTCCACTTATTCAGCGCTGTCCTAAGGCCAAGAAGTTCCCGAATAAGTGGTTGTTAAGCAAGGACTCCTTGCAAATTCACAAGCTAAATACTGGATTACACGAATAGTTACCAGAAAGCCACACAGAGACCAGGAAGGGAGCTCTATCAACAACAGTCCATGTTTTCAACCAGTGGAACAACCTGCCTCCAGAAGCGGTGAAAGGTCCAACAGTTTTTAAAGAAGAAACTGGACAGCCATTTTCCGAAATGGTATAGGTTTTCCTGCCTGAGCAGGGGGTTGGACTAGATGACCTCCAAGGTCCCTTCCAACTTTATTATTATTATTATTATTATTATTATTATTATTATTATTATTATTATTATTAATATTGATACCTTCCAATTTACAGGTAATCCTTGACTTACAACGGGAGTCTTCAAACTGGGCAACTTTTAAGACTTGTGGACTTCAACTCCCAGAATTCCTCAGCCAGCCAGCTGACTTACAATCATTCAGTGACTGCTTGAAGTGCCAAAGGCATTGCGAGAAGAGACTTATGGCCATTTTTCACACTTACGACCATTGCAGTAATCAAAATTCAATTGGCCATTGGCTCATATTTATGACCGTTGCAGTGTCCCGACATCACGTTTAGGACCATTTCTAACCATGTCCAGCCAGTTTCCAACAAGCAAAATCAATGGGGGGGGGAAAAGGGGGCAAGAAAAGTCGCAAACCAGGGCAAACCCCACCTAAGTGCCTTGCTTAGCGACAGAAATGTTGGGCTCAATCGTGGCCGTAAGTGGAGGACTGCCCTGCGCTGGATTACAACTCCCATCAGGCACTTACAGGCTTCTGTGGACTTGTGGAAGCCCACCCATTTTAAAGCTGCCAAGACTGAGGAAGGGGCGGCTGTACCGGGGCGGCCATTTCAGTCTGAAAGACTACACCCACTTGCCCTGAAGCCACGTTGGCTTAATGATGGCTTGCCCGTTAAGCCCCCCCCCCCTTGGCCGGGATGATCCCCGCCTTCCCCCCCCCCCAAAAAAAAGCCCCTTCCCCATCCCCGCCTTTGCTCCTTTCCCACCCCCGGGAAGCGCCTGCCTCTTTCCAGACGGGAGCGGGGAAGCGTCCTTCCGAGGGGCCGGCGTGACTGGCCCATGGTCCGCAGCCGGGTGCTGCGGAGGATGGGCGGGAGAGCCGCCTCTGGGGGGGAGACAAGAGGAAGCTCGGCAGGGGGAAGCGTCTCCCCGCCTCCTGCTTCCTGAAAGAAGGAAGGGCTCGGCCCCAAGGAAGCGGAGGGGCGCCCCGGCTTCTCCTCACCTTCCCCCCTCCAGCTCAGCGGTGGTTCCGGGCGGCCATGCACCCGCCTCATGCCGGGAGGGGCCCCGCTACCTCAGGCTGGGCCCTGCGGACCGAAGGCTCCTCGTTGCGGGTCAGGCCGCGGGGCCCGTCTCCATGGCGACCGACGGGGCAGCCAGCGAGCGAGCGAGCTCCGCCCTCTTCCGCCCAGCCACGCCACGCCCCTCGGGGGCTCCGCCTTCTTTCATTCGGCTGGAAGCGCCTGGGCTGCTTTGCGCGGCGGGCTAGGCTGGTGGGGGGGGGGGTCGTGTGAACGGAGCCAAGGATGGGGGGGGGTGTCCTCCTGCAGGTTTTAGGATCCTACTTTAATTTGGATTCAATTACAGGGAGAAGCTTCTAACACAGGCACCGGGCATAGTCCTCCCTTCTCTTATTCCAGTGTTTCTCAACCTTGACCATTTTAAGGCATGTGGACTTCAACTCCCAGAATTCCACAGCCAGCAATGCTGGCTGTGGAATTCTGGGAGTTGAAGTCCACATGCCTTAAAATGGTCAAGGTTGAGAAACACTGTGACTTACTCACTTTAAACCAGGGGTAGTCAACCTTGGCTCTTTTATGACTCGTGGACTTCAACTCCCAGAATTCCTGAGCCAGCTGTGCTGTGCTGGCTCAGGAATTCTGGGAGTTGAAGTCCACGAGTCATAAAAGAGCCAAGGTTGACTACCCCTGGTTTAAGGCAAGGGGTCCTCAACCTTGGTAACTTTGTGGAATTCTGGGAGTTGAAGTCTTAAAAAAGTTGCCAAGGTTGAGGACCCCTGGATTAAGGGATCCGTTGGTTCTAGCTTACATTTATACAGTGCTTTTTTTTTAAATAAATAAAGGTGCCGGAACTCACACACGTCATACAACCCGCCTTGCCTACCCTACAAGGTTCCATCCAAAAAAGGTGCCGGAACTCCGTTCTGGGCGTTCTATGACAAAAAAAAAAGCCCTGCATTTATAATATATAAATGCAAAATTACCCTATACCCCATACCCCGAGAACGCTTCTGATATATTCTCGCACCCCTTACAAAAGTTTGAAAGAATAGCAACGAATTATGCATATAGACTATAATTTTGAAAAGCCAAGTTTTTGCACCCTTTGGAATATCGTTTCGCACCCCCAGGGTGTGCGAGCACCCACGGTTGGGAACCCCTGGTCTAGATGGTCATCTGAAAATCCCAGGGGCTGGGGCTTCTGGTTTTTGGTGCTGAGGTTCAGCCCTGCTTTCACTTCTCGTTCAAAGTGACAGCTTTGCTATTGGAATTCCTGCTTCTCCTTTGGGGCCTTCCCATTTGATTTGCTAATTCAGACAAGCAGGATACTACTCCTTTGACTTCAGCTTTAGAGGACTGTAATCTTTTTAAAAAAAAAAACTACAGTAGTTATTTATCTCTGAACATGACACAGCCTTTGGTTCCCAGGAAGCAGCTTCCTTCCATCCAAAATTGGAGTTCTCCTTTTGCTTAGTTTAATTGCTAACCTTTCTGTATACCAGTAATTGCTTCCCCATTTGGTAAAAATGGAAGTATGAATCATATCCACCAAAATACAACAACAAAGGTTTCTAACGGTGTATCCTCTCTGTTTTGGAAGGCAAGTTATAGAAGCCAGGAGCAGAAAAATCTTGACAAAGCGTGCCAGATTTTCAGTGTTTACAAAAGAGCCATTTCCTCTTACCTAATTTAATTGGTTGAATTTTCTCTCATCATCCCCAGCATTGTTACAAACGGTACTTACATTAAATTATAGCAAAGTTTCCACTGCTGCTCTGGCAACCTAATCCGACGTGATGGATCATTTCTGCCTGGATACCTTCATCAGCAAATACCTCAAAAAGAAAGATTTATCTCGTCTCAGTTCTGCATTTTTTTTACTTAGCAATCCAGGATCCGACTTCAGCAGCTGAGGAATACAGCAGCTAACACCAAGACCCCACCCTTCGGCCTTTTGCAAACTGACTTGGCTGGCAAACAGTAACAAATCTCAGAACAGAACAACTGGAAGAAATCCAGAATGCTGGAAGGAATCTAATGTGAAAAACATTTGAAAACAAGTGAACGGAGAGTTCCTTTCCAGACTATCTTGGAAGCTGTTCAAGACAAACCCCAGATAAGCCATCACAATAAACCGAAAGCAGCCCTTGAAATCCACACATACAAATATTATGAACTGCATTTTGGGGGGGGGGGAGAGAAAGGTATTTTTGTGAATATACTAAACTGGGCTCTGCAGATCTGAATCAAGTTCATTTGAATTGAATAAACTTCCTTATTTTTAAACTTCCAATATTCTCCCTTCTTGACTGCGGCAAGATGCTATCTCCCATGTGACTTCCTGTGGAGTCAAAATTCTCATTTCCTGCTTTTTCTGGTACTCTTTAGGGAAGCTAAGGGGGGGGGAGCAAGAAACTGGCAAACATGGGTGGGCAGCCTTCTTTGTGGCAATAGGTGGACCAAGAGGTCACCGACGTCAGATCACTGATGCAAAGCTATTTGGACCATTCTGTGCAGAGTGTCAAGGCTTGTTTTATTTTGAATACTTTTGTATTTGAAAGGGGTTTGCCTTGTTTCAGAGTGACAGTCGACCTTGCCCCCATCCCCAGCCCAATTTTTGACGCATGTGGCTAGAGAGGACTTCCAGAAGCCACAAAAGAGGGGCTGTGGAAGAGCTTTGAACAATGGAGGGCCTTCTGGCTTTTCATCACTTCTTTACTTCCCAGTTACTCCACTCCTGATAAAAAGAGAATGTTTGTAATTCAGGGCTGAACGGTGGAGTCCTTGATGCTCTGTGACAGGGGTCTTCAAACCTGGCCCTTTTATGTCTTGTGGATGTCAACTCCCAGAATTCCTCAGCTAGGCACGCTGGCTGAGGAATTCTGGGAATTAAAGTCCACAAGTCACACAAGGGCCACGTTTGAAGACCCCTGCTCTGTGAGTTTGGTGGTTTTCTTGCAGACATTTCATTACCAAACTATGTAATAATGCTAAAAGGCAATGGGTTTGCTCTTAGTTTTATATCCTAGTGGCTTGCCCTGATAAGACAACCCTCTTCAATTCAGAGGGCACCAAAGACCCCATACTCCACTTCAGTATTTGCTTTCGGGATTCTATTTTAAATGCTTTCTTAGTACAAGTTGATACACCGCATTCATTTCCCCCCCCCTTTCTTTCAAATATCTCCCACGTGGCATTTTAATACACGGAGGGATCTCTCCTTAAACCCCCAAATCCTTTTGGTCCTCTGTATCCCTTGCTTCCGTTATTGTTTGAACGTACTTCTCGCTTTGGGCTTCCAGTGAGAGCACCAGGCCTGCCTAGAGTGGTCACGAAAATAGGCGAGTAAATGAACAGACCAAAGGAAACGCACGCACACTGCAAGCGCGCTCACGGCAAAGGTTTTGTCTGTGCGTGTGTCTTTTTAATGCATCGTTGCTACCAACACTGAAAGACCTTCATCGTCCGATTCATATTACAGCATCATTTTAGAAAGGTATTTACACATCTGCAGCCCTCTCCCCTCGCCCGCCCCCTCCCTCCCACTGCAAGCCATATGGCCTTAGGATGAACAGATGTCAGGAGAAGAGCAATGGCCAGCAGAGAGAAACCCCCCCCCCCTGATGTTTTCTGATTGGTTCAAATCCCTGATAAACAGCCACATGGGAGACCCAGGAGCGCAGCTAAAACCGTTTCATCTGCCGGCGTTCTTGCCGACGCTGTTTCTTCTCGTTGGGCTCTTGATTGGCAGCTGGAGATTCCGCAGTGAGCCAAGGACCCAGAAGGTTAACCCAAAGGAGATAGAGTGCTCGCCCCGGAGCCTGCAAGAGGGAACAAAAATGGGGACCCTCTTCAAGGCAGGCCACAAACAAAGTTGCACAGCTGAGAATTAGCAAAAAGCTGGCTGGGCTTTTTAATGGTTAAGGAATTGTACATCCCATTTATCTCTACGAATGATGGGCCTTTCTATCCCTAAATTAAAAATCTCCTAGATTTTTAACAGTGGGAGAAGGTGCTGTATCAAGTGGTCCTGGCTAAAATTAAGTGCAACTGCAAGTGCAGTTTGGGTGGCTGCCATCCAAACAGACTGATAGCTGTCGATGTTTATTTATATCCTGCCTTTTATTATTTTTACAAGTAACTCAAGGAGGTGAACATATCCAACACAATTCCTCCTCCTATTTTCCCCACAGCAACAACCCTGTGAGGTGGCTTGGCCCAAAATCACCCAGTTGGGTTTCATGGCTAAGGCAGGACTTGAACTTAAGGTCTTTTTAGCCTGGTATTTTAACCACTAGACCAGGGGTCTTCAAACTCGGCCCTTTTATGACTCATGGACTTCAACTCCCAGAATTCCTCAGCCAGGCACGCTGACTGAGGAATTCTGGGAGTTGAAGTCCATGATTCATAAAAAGGCCGAGTTTGAAGACCCCTGCACTAGACCAAACTGGCTCCCTGATACAGCTGGAAAGAGGAAGAATGTGCTGTGGACAAATAAGAAAAAGAAACTTACCAAGAACCAGAAATACCACATATAGAGGGAAAAACAACTGAGCACTTGGACAATGGCAGTAAGCAAAATCGTATCCTTCAGGTGCCTGAGGGTAGAAAAAAAAAGCTGGTTTTTATTAGAGCAGAAGTATAAAGTCTCAGTGTCTTCGGTCGTTCTCCAATGTCCCATCCGAGAAAAAAAAGACTGGCTTAAAAAAAAGTTACGGAGAATCAAAAATTGAGAGTGGGCCTGAACAGGATTGACCTGAGAAGAGGGAGGAAGCCCTCCAACCGTCTGGTCCAGATGCATAAGGGACACGGCTTCAGGTTATGCTAAGAAATCGTGGATTAGCTGCACAGTTCTGGATTATTGTGATCCGTTTGAGATTGTAACAATTGGGAGCAAAGAAGGCTGAACGAAGTCCTAGGAAGAATGGTTCAAGGACCTGGGAATGATGAAGCTGGAGAAAATTACAGATAGTCCTCCATTTACAACCACAACTGTTTGAAGTTACAAAAAAGAGACTTAAAGCCCGTCCTCCAACTTAGGACCGCCGCAGCATCCTGACAGTTGCTCCACTAAAATTTGGGCAGTTGGCAACCAGTGTGTATTTACAACCGTTGCAATGTCCCAGGGACATGAGATTGGCAATTGCAACCTTCCCAGCCATCTTCCAAAAACAAAGTCGGGTGGGGGTGGGGAAGCTGGCTTTGCTCAACAACTTTGCTTAACCACTGCGACAAAAAGGTCATAAAATCGGGCATGACTTATTTAGCAACAGAAATTCTGGTCCCCATTAAGGTCGTAAATGAAGGACCATCTGTACCTGCAGTTGCACAGAAGATGCAATAGATTTGTTATCTGTTTATTCCAGGAGGCAGGAGCAGACTTAGCAGGGAAGGGATATTGATCACAACTGAACGTTAGAAGAAATGTTTAAGTGGTAGAAGAGATTCAGCAATGGAAGATACTGCTTTAGGGTTAGAGTTTGCTGAACACCACCATGCACTCATGAGGCTACCTAGAGTGGTAATGAAACATGTGCAAGAAAACGACCAAGCTCAGTGAATACCAAGAACTCAATTGTTAATACGATTATCCTTCTGTTATCCATTTAATAATTTCCTATTTCTATAATGTTATTTACCATTCAATTAAAAAAGGTTTGGGGGGGTCACACACAAGGAGATGCAGGTAGCCCGAGGACCAGTGTGTCCCTCCACTGGTTGAGGCTATGAAGGAAAACTACGTATGCGCTCAGGCAGCAGGACCTGCTCACCTGGACTTAGGTAGTGTAGACACTCACTCTGCCATTCCCTGCTCCATATTCAGATCAATTCCGCCATCAGCGAGGCTGCCGCCCTCTGCAAAAGTAGGCTTTGCCATTGACCTCATTGATTGGTAACTAGCCCCATAGACCATCAAGCTGAACACAAAAGCAACCTAAAAGAAGGATATGAAAATTAGCCAGGAAAAACAGTAAAACCCTTCGGAGACACTCCTACTTTGGAGATACTATTTCAGTAAAGTCTGAAGTTTGAAAAGTGCACAAAGTTTGAAAAGTGCACACAGATTTATATTTGGCAAAGATAGGCAGGAACACAAACACATATTGTAGCCGGTGCCATCTTTTTAACCAGGATCACTGGGCACAACTGGATACAAACACTTCTGTTAAGGATTAAGAAAGCTCTAATGGAAGAATGGTTTACTGGTGGTTATATGTGGAGCCTCCCCAGTTTACAGACATGGTACAGAATGTCAGCTGTGTAGGATTAGCGGGACAGAGGGAAGGCAGTTGAATATGAATCTCATATTCTCCTAGCCAGTATTTTAAACAGATCGATAAAGACTTCTCTCTTTGCAGAAACAAAAAGAACACTTCTGAAGCAATATTTTCTCCTCTCGGTGTGCAACACACATTAACAGTCCCTGACTCAAAAGAAATGACAGTCTGAATATATATAGAACTCACCCAAGTCCAAATGGTAGCTGTTATGTAGAAGATCCCAAGGTTGACAATTCCGTAAATGGCCTGAAACCACAAGGGATATCAAAATAAGAGAGAAAGAGGAACAGACACAGAGCAATTTGTTTAAAGCAATTTCTCAAACTAGGCAACTTTAAGATGGGTGGACTTCAATCTCCAAGGTCCCTTCCAACTCTGATGAGGTTCTGTGTTCTAACTTCCAGCAATGCTGGCTGGGGAATTCTGGGAGATGGTCCCCCATATCTTCCAGTTGCTGAGGTTGACAAGCACTGGTCTAAAAGTTTCATTCTAAATCTAAACATGCAAGTCACCCAGTCAACCTTTAATTCCACTTTTTACCTTCAGAAATAGGGCCTTTACAGGCTGGGACTTGAACTGCTGCTGCCACCCATGGGGGAAAGCTACAGCTGCAATTATTTTGTTGACTGTTTCACCATGCACAGCAGGCAGAAAAGCTTCCTCCTTCCATTATATACTCAAGATGGACAGTATTTAATATTTATTTGCTATGTATATGTAGGGGTATGGGTCTATACCAGTGTTTCTCAACCTTGACAATTTTAAGGCATGTGGACTTCAACTCCCAGAATTCCACAGCCAGCATTGCTGGCTGTGGAATTCTGGGAGTTGAAGTCCACATGCCTTAAAATTGTCAAGGTTGAGAAACACTGGTCTATACGTATGTTGTACATAGTATGTTTAGGTGTGTGTCACTTTGAGAGCGGGCAACTAAATTTCATTTTTGATGTGTGCCGTTGTGCCCACAGTAAAAAAAAAAAAATGACAATAAAGGTTATCTTATCTTATCTTCTTCCCGGATCGAAAATAACCGGGCTGCCCTGGCTCGCCTCTTTCCAAACCCCGGAGACCCAGCGCCCCACACTCACATTCGCCCCTAAGATGATCCGCAGGTAGAACTTGAGGGTATCCTTGTTTTCTTCAAATATCTGCTTTTTGCCTTTGGTTCCTACCTTTCCTTTAGGCTGCGGGGGGGGGGGGGGGAAGAAAAAAAAGGGCAATTTTATTTTATTTTTTTAAAAATCAGAGCTTGTCACGATCCCTCGATCTTTATTTAAAGATCGCCCGCTCGCCCCGGCTCGCTCCAGCCCCCCGATGCCCGACTCACCGCCATGGCGACTCCCCGGCCAGCCTACAGGGAGGGCACGCAGGCAAGTCGGGCCAACTCAGCCCAGCGAGACTTCCGGCGCGGCGCCATTTGCGTCATATCACAGCGCCGCCACGAAAACGCTCTTCTCTGGAAAGCCTACAGTTCCCGACAGGCACCGCGCCGTCGTCTTGGGGATCTCGGAACGCGGGGGAGGAGGAGGAGGAGGAGGAGGAGGAGCTGATGGGCGGGGCGTGGGCGTGGACGGCCGTTGGAGGCGGCGCCGCTTCTTTGTCCATCCGTGTCTTTCGCTTCTCTGCTGACCTCTAGCCGGGCTCCGGCCGGCGATGGAGACCTGGAGGCTGCCCGTCGAGGTAAGGGCGCCCGAAGGAGCGGATGCTGCTCAGTGGAGGCCTGCCAGGTTTGCTGAGCGCTGTGCACCGCGCTCAGCCCGCGTGCATGCATCCATCCAGACGTGTCTGCAGCAGACCCGTGTCAGGCGCTAGCTTTTTTTTCGCGGTTGCTCCTTAAGTGTCATAACTCAGGGGGTCCTCAAGCTTGGCCACTTTAAGACTTGTGGGCTTCAACTCCCAGAATTCCTCAGACTTCAACTCCCAGAATTCCTTTGCTGGCTGAGGAATTCTGGGAGTTGAAGTCCACAAGTCTTAAAGTGGCCAAGATTGAGGACCCTTGTCATAACTGTCTTCCTCCGGGTTCAGATCACTTTCCCCTTTGATCTGAGCCACGTGCATCATTTGCAGCTGCCTACATTTTGCTTCGATATAAGGGAAAACAACGGTAAAATTCGTAGGAGAGATTGCATGGTCTCCATCACCTGGTTTTTAAGAGGTTTTTAAGAATATTTTTAAGATATTCCCTTCAATGTTTGTTTTTTAGTTTTTTCGATTTAGTTTAGATATAGATGTTTACTGCGACTGGTTCGTTTATTCCGTTCTTGCACTGGAAATCCTTTTAAATGAAAGAATCGACCTGTTTGTCAATGAAAATGGACTTATGTCGTGTTTAAACAACAGGGCAATTGTCACATTCGACAAGGTTCCCGCTTTTTAGGAGTGGGTAACTGGATAACCCAAACCATAAATAGCATCAGGGTCAAGGAATGAGTGAAGATTGATAACCACATTAATGAAAAAACAGTTTTCTGTCATAGCCAGATTCCTCGGATAGATACACAGCTGTCTGAAACTGGAATGCTGACGTGGGTAATAAAATCCTGTTTGGAAGGCATGGAGATAATACATTGAATTAGTCCATCGAAAACTGTCTGATGTTGCTGTAGGAGTGTGAAAAATCATCATTTACCCTAGCGAGGTTTGGCCACATCCTCTCCTCATGTAACTGAAACTGTTTTAAAAAAAGGAAACCGACTCCAGTCCAGAGCTTCAGACATTTCCTGAATGTCTGTTTTGTAGAACTCCCCTTGAAATGTTTAATAAACATGTCACTGCATGTACGTAAAAAAAAAACCCACCTCTTTTTCATTTTCCATTTGAGCTAATTTGTTGCCTTTTGAGCACAATTGCTTTTCAAAATGTGTCCCTTTTTATTTTAAAACCAACACAGCTAGGATAAAAGCCGCTCCTTGAAAAAGTGGCTTCGCAAAATGATTTTACAGAACCCTTACAAAATACTGTTTAAAAGTTATTTTTTAATGATTTTTTTTGTTCAAAGCTTCAGTGTTGATTGCTTCATAAACCATTAATTTAGCTGTTTCTATAATTAACAATATTAACTTCTGAATGGTTTTACAGCATGGTGCTAAAATAAACCAGATATTGTCTGATTCGGGCATTGCCTGTTGCGTGAGCCCAACGATGGTAGCTTGTAAACTGTAGCTTATGGCTTGATTTTGATTATTTCTCAAAATACTTTTTGGTCTTGATGGTGACGTCTTATCTGGATTGGGATACTTTATGCTAAACCCCAAAAGTGGGCACACCATAAAAACCCATCAGCCTCAAGCCAGAATGAGATTTTTTTTTCCAACCCAGATAGAACAAGCAAGTACTGTAACTAAATGGTTTTCTTTATAGATAGAGGTTGCTGTTCTCTGAAGACCTCTTTGTACACACAATAGTTTGCTATTGTGTAGAGCCAATTACAGTGAATCATTTACTGTTTTATAGCTTTATCACATCTGGCTCTTCATAAAGGCCAACAGCCTCTGGCATATTATTAGCAAATTAAACCGAAAAAGTGGATAATAAGATTTGTAGAAGACTTCCTTCTTCTAAGCCATGTGGTTTCACATTATATGAATATCTGAAATTAACTTCAGTTTCGCTATATTAAGCCAAAGCAGAAGAGAATCAGATATTTCCTTTTTCAGCAATAAACATACCGCAGAGACAGTCAAAATGTAGTTGCCTGGCTGAGGAATTCTGGGAGTTGAAGTCCGCAAGTCATAAAAGGGCCAAGTTTGAAGACCCCTGTTCTAGATAGTCAAAATATGATTAAGCCAGGACTACTGTATTGGGACACTCAATTCTTCATTATTGCAAGTTGAGAATCTAGACACTTGCTCTAGCAGTTCATAGAATCACGAGGCTGGAATTAACCTTGAAAGTCTTCTAGTTCAACCTCCCACCCAAAGCAGGAGTCCGTATACCATCCCAGACAAATGGTTGTCCAGTTTATTTTTGAAATCTTCCAGCTATGGAGCACACACAGTTCCAGGAGGCAAGCTCTTCCACTGATTAATCACTCTCAGGAAATTATTCCTTATTTCCAGGTAGGATCTCCCTCTGATTAGCTTCCGCCCGTTTGCATCTTGCCCTGCACTCAGGTGCTCCGGAGAATACGTTGACCTCCTCTTCCGTGGGACAGACTTTCAAGTATTTTACTGTGTCCAAATGCCAATACTTGTGATTGTCATCCAGACTCGCAGGATCATGATGCGAGGAAGCCTTATGCTTTACCAGTCCTTACTCCGTTAATTATGTTCTCTCGTTTCCGCACGGATCACCTTATGGAGCGTAACAAGCATCTCAAAATGAGGGCAAGAAGTTTTAGATGACGTTTTCATCTGATAAATTGATTCTCTTCCCAAGGTGAACAGCTGTTGGCCTCTGCTTTCTCATTTGTAGGTCATCACTTACATCTTGAACTTTCTACCTATATCTGACAGAAAAGAGGCATCTTTGGTTAGCCGAGCCTGGTATTTTGCAGCCCAAGACTCTCTGCGACAGGTAAAACCTTTGTGGGCTTAAACAAGCTCGCCTACACTTTCTGTTCCTTCAGAAGGCAATCCCCTCTTGGAAAATCTCCCCTTTTTTTTTTAAGATTGGGCAATTTTTACTGATTTGGGAATAACATCTCAGCCTTCCAATTTGCCAGGGACAATGTGTTAATATGATATGTTACTGTGGGGAAGATTGGCTCATTTTCCGTTAAAGATGGAAATAAGACTGTTTCAGATCTTTTCAAATTTTCATCTTTAAAAGGAGGGGATCCAAAAATCGTCCCTCTTCTTCTATAATCTAAAACCAAATAGATGTTGGCAACGAATTGGGATAGTGTCTCTCAACCTTGTCCACTTTAAGATGTGTGGACTTCAATTCCCAGAATTCCCCAGCCAGCTATGGCTGGCTGGGGAATTCTGGGAGTTGAGGTCCACACATCTTAAAGTGGACAAGGTTGAGAGACACTGAATTAGGAAGTGCAGTATATCAAATTGGCCTCTTTGGAAATAAAGGCATCCTTGACTTAGCAACCCCATTCAGGACTGCAATTTCCATTGTAAGTTGCGGCAGTCGTAAAAGGAGCCATCACACGAGCAGACTTCTTTTTACGGCCATTTTTATCACGGTTATTAAGTAAACCCCCATATGTGTTAAAAAAATCTCACACTCATTAAATGAATCATGTGGTTGTTAGTGTAGAATCCGGCTTCCCCAACTGACTTAGCTTGCTGGAAGTCAACCAGGAAGGCCGCAAGTTGCGATCCCGTTACCGCAAGACACGGCAACCGTCGAAAATGCGAGCTGCTTGCCAAGCGCCTGATCACGTGACCGTTCGGGGTGGTGGCGCAACAGTTGTAACTTCCAGGATGGGTTGTAAGGTCACTTTTTTCCCAGGCCGTCATAACTTGGAACCTGTTATTAAATGAACGCTCGTAATTCGAGGACTGCTTGTACGTCCTCGTGACGGAGCCCGTCTTGCTTCAATTCTAGGAAAATGTCCTCTACAACATCCCAGCTACTTCCGCTTCGCTCAGTACCATCCGGGCCTTGGCCCAAAGGCACGTATGCAACATCAGGATGGCCAACTTGGACAGCTCCACCACTTCCCGGGATGTCATCAAATACATTGCCAACTACCTGGGCCCCCACCTGCGCAGTCTGTGCCTGAACGGGAGCTGCCTGACCGAAGCCAGCTTTGAGGAGCTCCTTCTGGCTTGCCCCGGCCTCGTGGCCCTGGACCTGAGCAGCTGCAACAGCATCTTCATGCCCGGCACTCTGCTCTCCAAAAAGGAGACTTTATTGCAAGCTCAAGAAGCGCTAGCCAATTTGCGGGAGCTGAATTTGTCCAGCGTCAGGTACTTGTCCGATCTCACTTTCAACCGCCTGACCAGCTGTTGCCCACAGCTGGCCAAGCTGGTCCTGGCTCGCTGCCACCTGACCTTTGAGTTTGACAGCTACAGTGGCTCCCACGACTACAACTCCACGGCCCTGCTCTCTTTCCGCAACCTCCTGCAGTTTCTCGGCCGGCGAGCCGCTCGCATAAAGTCTCTGGATTTGAGCGGCACCAATATTAACAGCCAGGCGATGAGGACCTTGGTCCAAGTGGAGAACCTCCAGATGGAGGAATTGGTCTTGCAGGCTTGCCGGGATCTGACCAACGAGGCGGTCAGCATCCTGTGTCAGCACCAGCCTCAACTGACCACGCTGGACCTGAGAGGCTGCTCTGAGCTTTCGGACCGGGCTGGCCTGGCCATCAGTTCCCGGCTTCTAACTCTTCGTTGCCTGCGCCTCGGGAAGCTCCCGCGAATGACCGATGCCGGCTTCCAGGGAATGTCACACCTGAAGCATCTCCAGAGCTTGGACGTGTCTGAATGCAGTCTGCTGAGCTGCAGTGAGCTGGTGAAAGCTTTTGGCACTAGCGCCAGACCTCCCGAGCTAAAATCCTTGAATGTTGCCTTTTGCTCATTACTAAGGGTAAGTTCTGTGATGGTTTTTTTAAAACTGATTTCTTTTAGACCAGCAGTACCATTCAACAACTGGTTCACAGGCCGTGCGACAGCATAATGAGTTGGTTTGGGTTTAGCTTAATACAATCTTCAGCTGTGTCCACTAAACTATGGTTAAATTCCTTGGCTTAATGCAATCCAGGGCCATCATTGTGCCCTCAATTTCAACCCTAAGTCGTGACAGGCGTAAAGCCGGTCCTCACAGCATGCACGATTTTATGGCCGTTTTTGTGGCAGTCATCAAGTGAACATGGGGTCACATTAAGCAAACCATCTTCTGTGGGGTGTATCTTGCTGAAAACTGGAAGTAAACACTAGTTTCTGAAGGGGGAGGGAGATGTAAATTGAGGCCCTGTGACCATGGGGAGCTGCAAATAGCCATAAATGTAGGCCAGTTCCCGAGTGCCCGAAATGTGGTTACTAACTGCAAGGTGAATGTGGAGAGACGCAGAGCCCGGCCCATCTGCTGGTACGTTGGCTACTACCGGAAAAATGTACCGATAGTGGCTTATTTTTGGCCAACGGCAAAGCCAGGAAGGTGGCTTGATTCTGGCAGCTTGAAGTTTGACCTAGACACGGAAGGAGGAGTAGAATGACTGCGGGGAGGACAAGGGGGAAGACGTTGGAATTTCAAGTTCAAGTCTTAAAGTCCCTTTGCCGGAATCCATCATGAGTTCGACCAACTCCTAAGTGACTGGTCGTAAGTCAAGGATTTCCTGTGTGTGAATCTTCCCAGCTTGAGGCAGAAATTCACCCAGAGTCATGTCCTCTCGGAAGCCCCTGTGGGAAGTTTAAGTGAATACGAACCCAACGGTCTTTTTTTTCTTCTTCTTCTTCTTCTTCTTCTTCTTCTTCTTTCTTCTTCTTCTTCTTCTTCTTCTTCTTCTTCTTCTTCTTCTTCTTCTTCTTCTTCTTCTCCTTCTCCTTCTCCTTCTCCTTCTCCTTCTCCTTCTCCTCCTCCTCCTCCTCCTCCTCCTCCTCCTCCTCCTCCTTCTTCCTTCTTCTTCTTCTTCTTCTTCTTTCTTCTTTCTTCTTTCTTCTTTCTCTTCCTCCTTCTCCTTCTCCTTCTCCTTCTCCTTCTGCAGGATAGCACAGTGCTCTCTCTGGCTGGCGCTCTAAGCAAGAGCCTTCGGGTTCTGGATTTGTCGTCTTGCGTGTCGCTTTCTAACCGAAGCGTCCAAGCCATCGCTTCCAGTCTTTTACTCTTGACTGTCCTCCGCTTGGCCTGGTGTAAGGAACTGACCGACTGGGGTTTGCTGGGGATCGGGGAGCCCAGAGAGGAGTGTGAACGCGCCAAAGAGGTGAGAGAACAACAGTCATAGAAGCACACAATCATAGAGTCATAGGGCTGGAAGGGACCTTGGAGGACTTCTAGTCCAACCCCCTACCCAAGGCAGGAGACCTTGTATCAGTGATGGCGAACCTTTTAGAGACTGAGTGCCCAAACTGCAACCCAAAACCCACTTATGCATCGTCGAGTGCCGGCTGGGTGTGGCCCATTGGGTGGCCATGGCCAATTGGGTGGGCGTGGCTGCGGTGGTAACGGCAGACTGGGTGGGACTAAAAAGTTCAATCAAATAATTCCAACTTTGCAAGATCTTTTTTTTTCCTGCGAGAAGTTGAATTTTTTTTTTTGCACATGGCGGTGGTTTAAAGCGAAAAAGTTTTATAAAACCCAGCTGAAGGCCTAGGACTGGGGCGATGGCGCACGTGCCCACAGAGAGGGCTCTGAGTGCCGCCTCTGGCACCCGTGCCATAGGTTCGCCACCACTGCCTTATATCATCCCAGACAGATAGACGTCCAGTCTCTTCTTCAACACCTCCAGTGATGGAGCTCCCACAGCTTCTGGAGGCACGCTGATCCATTGATTAATTGTTCTCATTGTCACATCATAAACACACCTTTTTTTTCCCGCCTAATGGCCAAGCTTATTTTTGGGTGGTGAACACTTGTTCTGGTAGCACAAGCCTCCAAAATGTTTACAAACCCTGAACAAAAGAGCTGGCCTCCACAGTGACAGTGGGAAAGTCACCATGTGAGGAGAGGTTGAAATAGCCACAGGAGTGGGCCTGCAAGCCACCAATTCCCTTTTGTGTATTTTGGAGGCCTAGCATCAGTGCTCCCGTATCATGCTCCGTTATGGTCCTTTCCTGGATGTCTCCTAGCTTCGTGGACTTTCACTCCCCCGGCCAACAGGGCCGTTAGAGCACACCTGAGGGGTGTCCACCTCGCCTTCTAAGCAACCTCAGGAAGGTTTGGTCTGCTTTTACCCATCCTTCCGACTTGCTTTGACAGAAAGATGCTGGCCCAAAGTTCAGCAGGAATTTTGGCAATATGGGGTTTTTCCTGCCCCCTCCCCAGGATCTGGAGAAGGATAAGATGATGGTCATTAACCTCAACCAGCAGAAGGCCCAAGAGCAGCGCCCAACCTCTTTGAACGCCTTGACCCGTCTGCAGGAGCTGGACCTGACGGCCTGTGGGAAGCTGACGGACATGAGCATAGCCAAGGTACAGGGCGTCCTGGGGTGGGGAAAGCAGATATTGGGACTCACTGCTTTGCTAAATGGACCAGCAGATAGGACAGTGGTTCTCAACCTGTGGGTCGGGACCCCATTTGGGGTCGATGGACCATTTCACGGGGGTCGCCAAGCAAGGCTGTCCGCCATTTTTTTTGTCCATTTTTTTCCAATTTTCCGGCGGGTGCCTTACCTCCCTTGGGCTGGGCCAGCTGGTGGTCAGCCTGCTCCGTCTCTGCCGCTTGCCAGCTACGCCTCGGCCGGCGCAGGGGGCGGAACCACGAATGTGCGGCGCTCCCGGGCAGGGAAAGTCCTCGACGTACGACCGGTTGGGTAGTCCTCGACTTATGACCGGTTTAGTCCTCAACTTACGACTGGTTTAGTCCTCGACTTACGACCGGTTGGGGTCGTGACATTAAAAAGGTTGAGAACCACTGAGATAGGATCTTCTCCCTGGCCAACGTTCCTATGAAGAGAAGTTGCATTCTCCAGTTTGGGGCAGCCCAAACACCGTCGGAGGAACATCTAAAATGACCTCCTATGAAGTAGAATTATTGGTCCATCTAGCTGTGCAAATCTTCCATTTTCCTTCATTCCATGTAAAGCCTCAAAGAACTCCAGGCTTGGAAGCAGCGCATAGGTTACATATCCCCACTGTAAACTAAATAATGTCGATTTTCTTGGGGTTTGGCTCCAGGTGTTTTTGAATTCTTCAGCTGGCCAGGGATTGTAACATTCTCCACAGAAAGCAAGCATTCTGGCACCGAGATTGATTCAAAGCCTACTCAAGTTAAACATTTCTAAAGAAGCCTGGCTGGCTGGGGAATTCTGGGAGTTGGAAGTCCACTCACCTTAAAGTTGCCAAGGTTAAGAAACGTTGCTCTAGCACAGAGGTGTCAAACTCGCATCTCATTCTGAGTCCTGCGGGAGAAGGGCGGTATAGAAATTAAAATAATAATAAAAAATAATAATAATAATGACGTGTCGTGACGTGTCTTGACTTTTTTTCCATTGCCGGCAATGGGGTGGGCGCGGTTTTGCCATGACGCATCCGGCCCGCGGACCGGCAGTTTGACACCCCTGCTCTAGCAAGTCGGGGTGACAACTCACACCCAATAACCTTCCTCGGTGTAAGCTTGGGGTGCTTTTTCTCTCTACCAGCCTGATTTCCACCTTGCACCTCATGCGGGATTTGGCCCTGCCCTTCCTTTCCAGGTCATTAGCTTCCCAGATCTTCGCTACCTCTCCCTCAGCCTCGTGCCCAACATCACCGACACTAGCCTCCTCGCTATTGCGCGCAACTGCCGGAGCTTGGAGCACCTTTCGCTGAGCCACTGCACAAACCTGACGGATAGAGGCTTTGCCGAGGCAGCCGGTGCCTTGTGCAGGTTGCAGCATCTCATTCTTTCTGGCTGCAACCAGCTGACGCCCAGGTAAGTGAGCGTAGTTTGCAAGGGGTGGGTCACCTGAATGCCTTGGGGCATCGCCTGTGGCCTAAAGGCTCCTCAGTTGACCTTGGGAAATTCTTTAGAGCAGGGGTCTTCGAACTTGGCCCTTTTGGGGGTCATGTGAACCATGACCCCAAAAAAGGGTGGGAAGGAAATGCTTAGAATTACATGCATAGCGGAAAAGAAGCCAGTCCTAAGCATGATGTCATGTGTCTGATTAACGAAACACTTAAAAGGACTTTCAGGCATTTTTACTCCTAAAAGCATTTATTAATGTTAAAGATACGTCAGAACAACATGGAGGAAATGCTTAGGACTGGCTTCTTTTCTGCTATGCATGTAATTCTAAGCATTTCCCTCCCACCTTTTTGGGGGGGTCATGGTTCACATCTTCCAATCAACTTGGAAGATGTGATTTACTTCCGGTTTCTTTTCCCCTTGTGCCTGGTTTAACTATAAAAATGCCAGACAGCTCTGCATATTGTCAAAGCAAGAATATACAGTATTTGCAGCGTTGACATCTTGTGGACTTCAACTCCCAGAATTCCTCAGCCAGCAAAGCTGGCTGAGGAATTCTGGGAGTTGAAGTCCACAAGTCATAAAAGGGCCAAGCTGGAAGACCCCTGATCTAGATAGTCAAAATATGATAAGCCAGGACTACTGTATTGGGACACTCAATTCTTCATTTTTGCAATGAGGAATTCTGGGAGTTGAAGTCCACAAGTCATAAAAGGGCCAAGTTGGAAGACCCCTGCCTTAGAAGCTCTTCCCCCTGCAAAGGGCCCTGTCCATTTTATAGCACTGCTCCAGCTACTACAAGTCCCAGGTCCCTCTCCCTAACCATGAGCACCAGAAGATTGCCCACACCCTTCCCACAAAGGAGATGGGGGTGGCAAGGTTACTGCAGAGCTTTCCTTGAGGTGGTGGGTGGGCCCAAGAGACCAACAGCAAATTGGAATATATCCCTTTCTAGGACCCTGAAGTCCGTTGGCCAGGAGTGCCAGCTGCTGAAGTCCTTAGATGTCTCCATGTGCAGCAAGATCAGCATGTCCGACGTCGAACGCTTCCAGTCGCAGCTGCCCCCTCAAAGCCAGACCAGCGTCCAGTCACGGTTTGTGGGTGGAGCAGATCTTTCCATCACCCTTTGAGGAACCATTGTGAGCCCTGACTCCTCGATTCACCTTTCTCCATCCCAGTGGGAAGGCAGGAAGTCCTCCTCTTGTGACATCCTTGATGGCCTCATGCCCGCAGGGTGAAATGAATTGCACTCGAGCGGCTGCATAAGCCCCATCAAGGAAGCAACTTTTCTTCCATGATATTGGGGACAGGCCCCAAGGCTATCTTCCAGGAGTTACTGAGCGAGAACCAGCAATTTCGGTACTTTACAAGCAGAATGGATGATATTTATTTGCTCCAGGAGTTTGGACCCAGGTAAGTCCCAGCAGTGCTGGGAGTGGTATCCCAACAAGACGGCAGGATAAGTCTTGTTATTCACGCCAGTTTCAACATACCCAGGCACGAGCACTTTTTTGTCGTCTCTAAAGGCTGTGAACGCCCTCTAGGCGACTATATTCTTCGTTGCCAATCCTTAAAAGTCCCTTTGTCCATTTTAAACGAAACCTGCATTTGCTTCTGCTTTCAAAGTCTGCCCTCCTCGCCGATAGCAAGCATCCTTGGACTGTTTGGATACAGCGAGATGTCCCGGTGGCTACTTCTTGCAAACAGGGTGAAAAATCAACTTTTCCAATAGCATCTGTCTCTTCTTTCTAAGCCCGTGGCTCAGTTTGTGTACACAGGGAGGGGCAGGTGTCAGACCTAAACCAGGGGCACAAATAAAAGACTGCTATCTTATCCATGCTTTAGAGTTTTGGGGCAAAGGACAAAGCGATCTATTAAACCCAACTCTCTCATCTTGGCTAAGAGTTACATGTTTGATTTCCCTTCTCACGGACCCTCTTCAAGTAATAAATCCAAAATAGCCGAGGTTCTGCCAGATGCCCCCGTTTCCACAAAATAGCATTGGGATAGCATGTTCTCCAAAAATTTGTCAAGTCGTGCCCAAAATTTAGCTTTGCGCACCTCAACAGTTAAAAAAAAAAAAAGGCCTGCCAGTTAACTGTCTACAAAAATAAGGTGAAACGTGAAAAAGGGTCTCGTGGGTATCTGCTGGAGTTTTATGACATCGTTTTACTATGACAACTTGAAAAGCCTTTTCGTTTTCATGGTCCCAAAGGTGCTTTTTTTTTTTCAAGAGGCAGCTGGTCTGTCTTGTTTTCCTTTGAAGATGTTTTGCTTCTCTCCCAAGAAGCTTCTTTTCAGTGAATAGTTGGGGAACTAAAGATGCGTGGGCTTGATTCTGCATGGATCAAACAGTCCCGAATTAGGTGCTCTGCTTAGCAAACAGCTCTTTGTGTGAGCCGTTGTTATTCCACTGACTCCAGTAAATAGATTTCAGGGTTTTGATCCGGAAGATAAATCTACCCAAACCTGAGATGACAAATTAGAGCTTGACCCACCCCATAGGATGCCCACAGAGGCATACCTTTCTTCGTCAATCTCCCCACGATGATCTAGTGGAAGAGGCCAGTGTTGATCAGAGAATCATCTCTGGATTTCAGCCATTTTGATCTTGGTCCCTGCAAGGCTGGTGTTATTGACTGATTGATTGATTAAATTTATTTGATGCCCATCTTGCTGCAGGCAACTTATTGACTCCCGATAAAGGTAATTTCTCCATCTCCAGCTGTTTCACAAGCAATAACCCTTCGCAGAAGGCCCATCTTAGACTCGATCATATTCCCAAAGCATCTGTCCCTGCAGCATAAGAGGTTACCACTCAATCTTTTTATTTTCTAAGTGGGGGGGGGGGGAAAGTCAAACTTCTCACTGGGTTTTGACTCCACCTATACATTTTAAAGACATCCGGTTTCTGTGCCCTGCACAGGAATCCCAACTACGTGCAATCAAAACAAATGAACAAAAAAAAGTCATAAAAGTAGTTCTTCCTCTTTTCTTTTTAATGATTAATGGCTTCTATGCCCAAGGTAGTACCACAGTGAATTTGTTACAGTAGAATCATCTGAGCAGGAAGGAAATTGGGGAATGCCCAGGAATCCCTTTTCAGCATTTTTCAAGTAGTCCTCGACTTACAACAGCCTACTGACCGTTTGAAGTTACAACGGCACTGGAAAAAGCGACTTATAACCATTTTTCACACCACGATTATTGCAGCATCCCCAGGGTCACGTGATCAAAATTCGGATGCTTGGCAATTGTTTCCTCTTTATGACGGTTGCAGTGTGCGCTGGAGTCACGTGATCCTGTTTTGCAACTCTCTGACCAGCGAAGTTAATGGGGAAAGTCAGATTCGTTTAACAATGGTGTTACTAACTTAGCAACTGCTAAGATCCACGTCAGAACGGTGACAAGAAGTGGGGCAAAATTCACTCAACAAATGTTTCCCTTAGCAACAGAAATTTTGGGGCTCAATTGTGCTGGTAAGTCGAGGACTCCCTGTATTGAAGCAGACAAGGTTTGTTCTTAACCTGTGAAGAGTTCTCGCGGCACAAGACTAAATCATAGGCAAAGAGCCGGAAGGGACAACAATAACAACAAAAAAATTCTGATCCAGTGCAATCAACTCCACATCTGTTGTGGGGCGAGTAAAAATAATCTCTTGTGACACATACACCGAATGTACATACAATAGGTAAAGAACAGCCAAATTTTCTTTCAAAATAGCTAAAGGGAGACAGAGGCCAAGAACAATCAAAAGAAGCCTGTCCCTCAGTCACAATCCCGCCATTTACAGAGTGAGGCCGAAGTGCCTTTGGTCCGTGGTCAGTTAAAGGGGTCAAGCTCCGATCCTTGGTACATCAACAAAATCTTAGGTTCAAGCTGAGCCTCGTAGTCTGTCTTGTTCAGAGGTGAGCAACTTTACGATCTGTGGACTTTACGAGCTGGCCCGGGAATTCTGGGAGTTGAAGTCCACCGGTCGTAAAGTTGCATAGTTGCCCACCCCTGGTCTGGTTTAATCCCTGGTGTGATGCAACGCAACCTCTGCCCCCCCTCTTCCCTTTTAAGAGACCAAAGAGGTTGTCTACTTAGCTTAGGCACACTACAAGGTGGCCAGCGGTATAAGGAAAAGCATTTTTTTTTTTAAAAAAATGGCATGTTTCATGGCCTATCCAGAATCCAACTATTGTTGGGGCAGAATCGAGACTATTGTTCAAAACCAACAGGACCGACCGTTAAGTACCATGGAATATACTGTACCCTAAAAGGAAGTTCTTGAAAGAGAGATTGTCAGAAATCTTTCCCCCCCGTACCGTACATCGTACTTGCAAACTATCACGAGTTTAAAAAAAAAGAAATGCATCCCTTAAAGCTAATGGTGCTCCTGGTTTGAACAGAACATCTCCCTCTGCTTGGGAAGACAGGAGCCATGACTGCATCGCCTCCCATTCTTAGACGGCAAGAGGGGGCAAAGTGTAAAGTGCAAAACGTAACCCAAGGCAGAGCGAGCATCTGACAGCATTGAAACTACACAAGCTTAGGAAAGGGTGGAGAAGAGACCAATTGCCTGACGGAGGACACCAGTTCTTCATAAGGAAAGCAGGGGAAGACCTCTACCATCCCCTCCACTCCGTACCCCCAATTCCCAGGGAAGTGCACATCCAAACAAAACCTTTGGGGGAAAAAATTAAAATAACCGCTAGCAGAAAGAATTCAGAGATCCATTCGTGACTCTAAAGCCAACTTAAACCTCATTCTTAACCCACAACCAGCCCTTAGAACAGGGGGGTCTTCAAACTTGGCCCTTTTATGACTTGTGGACTTCAACTCCCAGAATTCCTCAACTGGGAGTTGAAGTCCACAAGTCATAAAAGGGCCAAGTTTGAAGACCCCTGACTTAGAAGCTTATCGTCTCAGGCCGCTGAAGCCAATGCCCGTCTGTTCTCACTGGAATTGAGATCAAGGCTCAGCTTGATGAGGACTTTCTGCCTCTGCTCTGACACTCTAAACAGCTACCAGCCTATTCCCCCCAGTTTCCACACAGCCAGCAACTGGAGTTTTTTTAGCTTGTACAATATGCAAAAGCTAAGGTGGTTGCATGGCTGAGGCCGGTTGTGGCACTAATAGTGTCCAAAGCGTTGTTGGGAAAATGGTAGTCTATGTGGCTACCCCTTACAGTAGGATAATGCTAAAGATTGCAGAACGAGGTCTCTCCAGAGTACAAACCAACCCACGTGGCAAGCAAATTCCCTTATGGGTTTTTGCTTCCTTTTTGGTGTCCATGTGTGTGTGTGTTTTCTTACAGGTAACTTGCTAACACCAGCTACAGATGGTAGCTCACCGAGACAAGTATCTTGGTGAGTGGGTGGCTGTTCAATTCTCTGTTCCCTTTTTCACAGCGCTCACTTTCTGTTCTTAAAGCCTATTTGCTAGCCTATCCCTCTTCCCGGCAAAGCTATTCCCGTTCCAGATTTTGTTGGCCCCTCGGTTGGAAGAAAGCCCCCTAATGGTGCATCCGGAAGAGTTAAATTAAAAGAACTGATTTTCTAGCGTTTAAAAAAACACACACACTCAACCAACGCTCGGTTGGGAAGATTGTGAGCAAACCACAGGCTGCCCTACTCCTTCCTCTTGGTCTCGCTCCATTTGCTGCGATGCCTGAATTAGGCAATCTGTGGTCACCGCTCATGTTCAAACCATGCTTTGACAAGATGCGGTCTGGCCTGGATTGGTTACCTGTGGTTTGCCCAGTTTTGATGTCATAGTAAATGCTACTCGGGTGAAAAGTGAAACTAGAAATAACTGGAACGTGGGATGAACGCAAGGGAACCCATGCCACGTTCCTGATCCGGCTTTCAGGTGATCCAAGCCCGTGAATCTGTAGAGCAGCGTGTGTGCTGTGCAGATCCTGCTTGGGGTGGGTGGGTGGGCACTGTGTGCTAAGGATAGGAAGGACAGCCCTTACTGTTCAATATGGGTAAAATCATAGCAGAAATTTAAGTTGCTGGGAGGCTTTGGGATGTCGGGTGGGGCATCAGGAATGGCAATGTTCTCCAGATCCAACAATCGCAATTTGAGCTCCATAGACAGCAAGATATCCAGGTCGCTCTGCATCCTTTCGCTGACCATCTCCCGGCCGAGAAGCACGTTCAGTCCATCGGTCCACAAGCAGAACTGAGGAACAAGGACAAAGCATTTGGGGGAGGGGTCTCTGCAGATATTCTCAACCTTGTTAATAAGCTGAAGGCGACCAAGAAGTAGACATAAATATTTTCTTTTGAACTAGGCTAGGGCTACAGTGGCCTAACTCACCCAACTCATTGTTTTCCCTGGATTTAATAATCCTGCAAAGCTCTCAACTTTAAACCACCATCAGCAAGTTCCATATTATACCAAAGCAAACAAGCCAAATGTGGCCTCATGCCAGATGCAAAACCTAGCTAATAATCGGGAGCAGAAACTCAGAACATAATCTGAAAATAAGGCAAGGCTGTATGCCGTTCTTAGCAAATTGAAAGTATGGAACGTTGTCCTCTATCAAAATGAATATTCCCAGAAGGGAGAATATCTCCACCTCTGCATAGTGTCAAAGTCAACTTGTTTGTCAAAGTTCGAAACACGACAAAACTAACCATAAGGGATGAATTTACCAGACAGTTTGTGCCTATCTGCATCTTATTTCAGCGGCAGAATGTCCCAAAGCTATTTTCTCATTTGGCATGGAGAATCTGGGGGAACTCTTTATAACCCGGCTAGGCTGTCGGTGTTCCCCTGCAGTGGCTCACCTCGTAACGTGTAGAGGCAATGAAATTCAGATGCTCTCCAACATCGTAACTTATGGAAAATGCAAGGTCAAGAAGATCCTGAGGGGCGGTGGGTGGGAAACAAGAGGTTTGGAAGAAAAAACAGGAGGGTTAATGAAATGTTGCTGGCAGAACGAAAGGCAAAAGTCCTATTCAATTCAGAACTTATTATCTAGATCTGCAAAACACAAGCCTGGCTGAAAAAATGAAAGTGGGTTGTTTGTGGGTCAATATGTGATGAGATCTCAGATGCTGTCTTATAGTATGTTGCGAGTGCCATGTGCCACACTAAGGTCTTTATGGCCTTGCAAATAAATACACAGAATAACAGAGTTGGGAGGGATTTTGGAGGTCTTCTAGTCCAACCCCCTGCTCAAACAGGAAACTAATAATGTTTTAGACAAATGGATATGCGTCCCAGGATAACGTTGCAGGATCCAATACGTGTCGGTCACCGGAATCAAAGGTTTTTTTCTTCCAGCACAAGGTCCAAAGTTTGGAAGAATAAACCCTTTGGTTCCGGTAACTGACTCAGATGGGGCTTTTTACATAAAGAGAGCAACTGTGTTTTGTTGATCCAGATTTAGAGTGTTCATTCACCATATGCCTAGTCCAGGGGTAGGCAACCTTGGCTCTTTTATGACTCGTGGACTTCAACTCCCAGAATTCCTGATCCTGCATGGCTCAGCTTGGAAACCTCTCCCTTTCCCCTCAGCATAGCTGACTCAGGAATTCTGGGAGTTGAAGTCCACGAGTCATAAAACAGCCGAAGTTGCCTACCCTTGGCCTAGCCACTCTATTGTTTATTTATGACAGTTACTTATCTACCCTTCCTTCACCTAAAGAGAAAATACTACCGGGGCAAACACCAACATCAAACAACAGCAGTAACAATCAATCATCACAATCGCCCTCAACGCCAAACAATGCAAAAATCCTTGGTTTGGAAAGGGATACTCTCCAACGGCTCCCAGCTCTCAATGTCTCCAGCAACTATTTGAATACGCAGAGTCAGCTTTTCAATCTTTTTTTTGGGGGGTGGGGTGGGGGTGAGGGAGGGGTTGCAAGGGATTTAAGCGAAGGCGATCCGCCCAGCGCAGGTGAGACATTGGCTGACCTTGTTCTGCTTGCCCGAACTCTTTTCCTTGGTGTGGGGGCATTCCCGGCCCACCAGCAACGCTTTCATGTCAGCCACAGAAACTGGGGAGACAGGTAATTGACAGGTTAATAAAGCCCACCTAGATCGAAGCAGATTCACAAGGAGAACTATGAAAACCTCAAATCTAAGAAATCCATCGTTTAGAGGCGGGTATTCTGCCTGCTTTCCAAGAAGCCATCCAATCCATTAAAAACAACACAGCAACAACAACAAAAATAGGCTAATTCACTAGCCACATAGAACATAGAATCGTAAGGCTGGAAGGGACAAGATCTTAATCAGCAAAAGATTTGTGAGCAAATTTAGCACCCCTCACCCAATCTTTCCATGCCTCCCTTCCTCTTTGTTGGTGCCAACTTGCCAACTATCCTGGGAGTAAAGGTGCTTTTTCTCAAGAGGTAACTGGACTTTCTTGTTTTTCTTTGAAGATGTTTCGCTTCTCATCAAAGGAGCTTCTTCAATTCTTGGATGAGAAGCGAAACGTCTTGAAAGAAAAACAAAAAAGCAAGTTACCTCTTGAAAAAGCACCTTTGGGACAACTGGACGACTGAGAATCTCCATAGATCTCCTGGGAGTAAAGATGAGGTAAACGAGCCTACAAAGATGGGGGATTGTCACGCACCTTTCTCCTGCAAGCTCTCTATTGGTGGGTTTTCGACCCCTTCTTCGACATCCCCATAATGGAGAAATTTGTGGTTGGGAGAAAGGCGGCAGTACCACAGCTTATCTGCCAAAGAGAAGAAAAACGCTGAAAGTCCGAGAAGAAGCCTTGTAAATAGGATTTTCTCCATCTTGAAATGCCAACATTCCCCACAGCGATGTCTTCCCTCCCGCCACCCTTCCTAGCAAATGGCCGCCATGATGCAAAATGTTAGGAACTCCAAATTGTTCATGTTTCTCTCTCGCCGGGACCTTTTACGACTTGGGAATCGAGTATTTCCAAATCTTTTCCAAATCTGGAAAAGGAATGGGGACCTTTGAAGCCATGTAGACAGGTAGTCCCCGACTTTACAGTTCGTTTAGTGATTGTTCCGAGCTGCAACGGCCACTGGAAAAACTGACTTATGACTGTGTTTCACACTTGCCGCCTCCCCAGTCATGTGATCAAAATTCAGATGCTGGGCAACTGACTCCTATTTGTGACCGTCATAGTGTCCCAGGGTCAGGTAAACTCCTTTTTGTGGCCTTCTGACAAGCACAGTCCATGAGGAAGCCAGATTCACTTCGGAACCAGGTTACCAACTTAAACAACTGTGGCTGGAAAGGTCATAAAACGGGGCAAAACCCAACCAATGTCTCACTTAGCAACAGAAAAGTTGAGCTCAGTTGTGGTTGACCTCTATGGAATTTTGAGGCCTGGTCATAAGATGTTTCACAAAATGGACAGCGGGCTTGCCAATTCACAAAGTACTCAACCACATAGTACTCTAGTGGTATGTGGGAATGGTACATGGGCGACGGGAGGAAGAGCCGCAACTTAAGACAATTGTCACAGAAAAGATATTTGAGCCCACAGAAGAAAAAAGGTGTGGGAAGCATCTCTGAAACGTCTGTCTTTAGTTTTCTAAAAGTAAAAGAGGGGTGAAGCGCTTTCCAGTCTTGCGAGACCAATGTCAGCCCTTTGAGTTAGTCCAGAGAAGAAGCCCAAGTCACAAATACTAACACAACCTCTGTTGTCAGGTTGCAGTATCAAAATCTTGCAAGTCTCGTAGTAAACTCTCCTTCACTTGGTCATATTCAAGGCGCGTTTCTTCTCCACCCACCCCTTCAGACCCCTTCAGATCCATACCTTGTCGACGGCGGGTGCTAATTTTGCGAAAAAGCGTCCCCTCACAAAGATGGAGGAGTCTCTGCTGCTGGATCAACTTGATGAGTTCGGGTTTCAGCCGTTCCCTCAGTTCCCTGGAGCAGAAAATGGAGCACCGCTTTTTGTAACACAGGCTAGGTGACCTTCCAGTGGCGTTAGAATTTTATTTACCCTGAGGGACTTTTTCTAAAACTGGTATCCCAGGCGTAATAGATCCTAACTCCCTTGATTTCAGAACTAGCATGGCCAAGAAGAGGGAGCATCTTTGCCCTCGGCACCAAGAAGGACAACAACACTCTTGTTCCTTGGCAGGGCAGCCATCTTGCTTTTCCAAGCATACTGCTTATTTCTAACATTTCTACCCCACTTTTATCATCCCATCTTTCCGTTCACACTGGACACTCTATGAGCTTACTTTCTGAAATATACACCACAGAGGAAAAAAAAACCACAAATACAGATGATTAAAAATGAATCCATCGACAAGCAAATTGTAATGGATACCGTATTTCTAGAACAAGGCTGTTACTCCTTGTGATTATTTTTTTTTGCACTGCTGTTACTCCTGAAGATTTTTTGTCTTACTGGACTGTTTTCTATTTTATACTGCTTTAATTTTATACTAAGTTTCAACTGGCATGTACACAACCCAGGGCAGGGCATTTTCAAGCTGTTGTGAAAATAAAAATGATCAGTGTCTCTTTTTATGTAAAAAGACATCTTAGTATCTATCTAAATTGATAAATGCAGTTTAATAAAGGTAACAAGTCACCAGAGTAGAAAACAGATTAATTGGAAAAATAAAAACAGAGTGCAACCGAAGAAGAGCAATATTTGACGCAGCACAAAATCCTTCCTGCAACTGATTGATGTCTGCCATCTCAGTGACAAGGTGTCCATCTCTGACAAGATGAAGTCCATGGAAGCAACTCAGTGCTTCCTCTTTGCATGACAGCAACTAATACTTGAAGAGAGCCCAGTCCTACATGTTCTTGGGAGGTGTATGTGTAGTCTTTCTCTTCCCCTCTCTCTTGCACAGGCATGCACACTCACACAAACAACTGTCAGAGATACAGCTGGAGGCCTCCTTACTCACAGGACAGGGACAGGCAGAATTTCTTCTTGATGCATGCGTTCAGTCTGCCGGAGGCGCAGGATCTCACTGTAGTTGAGGGCATTCACTCGGCTCTTGAAGAGCTCCAGCGAAGTGGGCTTCAAGACCAGGGTTCGGGTGATCTGCTCCCGAACCACTTGCATCACCTGGAGGAAGATCCAGAGAGTTATCTGCACAGGTGTGTCTTCTGCACCTCCATCTCTCGTAACAAAAAGTCAATTGGATTGACAATAGTAGGGCGTATTGCTATTATCCTTCTCATCTTTCTCGCCTTCTCATCTTTCCTACTATCTTCTATTGATATCTTGATATCACGTTGTTTGTAGCTTATAATTAATGATTGTAATTGTGATTTATGACCTATGCCTTATTATTTTGTTGTTTGTATGTACACTGAGAGCTTATGAACCAGAGACAAATTCCTTGTGTATCCAATCACACTTGGCCAATAAAGAACCCTCCTATCCTATCCTATCCTATCCTATCCTATCCTATCCTATCCTATCCTATATCCTATCCTGCCAAAAGTGTCAATTGAATTGAGATGGGCGGCTATAGAAATTGATTGATTGATTGACTAAATGGAATGAATGATGTAGATCAGGGGTGTCAAACTGCCGGCCCGCGGGCCGGATATGTCACGCGGAAGCCGCATCCACCCCATTGCCGGCAGTGGCAAAACAGTCCCGATATGTCGTGCGATATCACATGACGTCGCGAGTTTGACATGACTGATGTAGATCCTTCCATCATGCAAATAATGGGGTAAAGATGGATGGATGGATGGCAAAGATCCTTCCAACGTGCAAATGATGGGGCAAAGATTATCATGAGTGGGTGAGATTTTGGTGGCTGAGGACTGTATTTAATCTGAGGAGATCAGGCAGAGGCTCCAAAGAATGTCATTATTCTACCACTCCTGTCTTTCAGCCCAGTTCAGACTGACATCCAACACAACTGAAAAAAGAAGAGAAAAACATTCAAACGCCTGTGCTGAAAACCGTGCAGCTCAGGGACATATCAGCAAACAATCCCTTTTAGAGCTCACTGCAGTCCATCTGGATCTTACCTTGTCAAAGTCTTCTTGCGTAGCTCGCATCTCCTTCCAGGTTTTGTTCAACAGTTGGATGCAAATACAGAAAACCTCCTCAAAGAAGTGTTCTTGGCCAAAGAACATGGGGTAGAAGGCTTGGGCTGTCTCCGAGCCTGCAACAAGAGAATTATCACAATACTTGAATGAGCCATCGTGGCAGCGCAGTGGTTAGAATGCAGTATTGCAGGCCAATTCACTGCTCACAGCCAGGAGTTCGATCCTGACCTGCTCAAGGTTGACTCAGCCTTCCCTCTTTCCGAGGTCGGTAAAATGAGGACCCATATTGTTGGGGGCAAGAGACTGAATCTGTAAACTGCTCAGAGAGGGCTGCAAAGCACTATGAAGCAGTATATAAGTCTTAAGGGCTATTGCTAGTGCTGTTCTTGCCTTCTTATACACAGATATCTACTACTTGTTTCACCCCGTGGTTTTTAATTTGAACAAACAGTATAATTTAGAATGGGAGAAGTTATGTTTGCTGCTGCTATCCTGGAGGGGGAAAGGAATCCAATTTGCAAACGCCCTTACAAAAAGTAACATAACAAAAACATATGTCAAAAAAGTAGCTGTACTGTGAGATAACAAAGCAGTTTTCAATTAAAATGTATAATTTTAAAGAAGGCCAATACATACAGATGGATAGCAGAGAAGAAGACGTACATTTAGTTATCCCACCTGTACCAATCTACCAGTGCTTCTTCTCATTCCCAAATGACACAAAGAATTGCTAATAGATCCAACATTACATCCTGCCCACCTCTATTTCATGCAGTAGTCCCAGGAACAGGATGATTTTCCTGGGGTGAGAAGCAGGAGGCTACTCTGTTATCCCATCTTCTCTTGGTATCCTGTAGAACAGAGGTCTCCAACCTGGGCAACTTTAAGACTTGTGGACTTCAACTCCCAGAATCCCTCAGCCAGCACTGGGAGCCACCCCTTTAAGACTTGTGGACTTCAACTCCAAGAATTCCTCAGCCAGCAAGTCTTAAAAGGGGTGGCTCCCAGTGCTGGCTGAGGAATTCTGGGAGTTGAAGTCCGCAAGTCTTAAAGTCGCCAAGGTTGGAGACCCCTGCTGTAGAAGATCATAGTGGGGCGACAGTGCCCACACATTCTGGACGACTAGAAGCAAAGGGAATACTCACATGTCTCCCCTACATGAAGAATCTCACACAACATAAAGGAAAGCTGGATGCTACTCCGAGCAAATGGACATTCGTGTTTATCTTCTCGGCTGCTGTTTTCAAGAATAAACTAAGAAAAGAGGGCCGGTATTAGAACCTGCTGGATGGAAAATATCATGAAGACCAACCCAAGGACAAGTTTAAACTCTCAACCTACTTCATCCAGAAGCTTTCCAGTTATCTTGAAACTGCAACTCTCAGAATTCCCAAGAGCAACTATGACTAGGAAATTGGGGAGTTTTGGTTCCAATGCTTTGGAGGATGTAGAAGTTGAATAAGACTAATGCTTAGGGCAGAGTAAAAAAAAAAACATACTATGAGGCTGTCGTGGTGGTGCAGTGGTTAAAGTGCAGTATTGTAGGTTAACTCTGCCCCACAGCCAGTTCGATCCTAACCGGCTGAAGGTTGACTCAGCTTTCCATCTTTCCGAGGTTGGTAAAATGAGGACCCAGATTATTGGGAGAAATATGCTGACATTGTAAATCACAGAGAGGGTTGAAAAGCACTATGGAGCTGTACAGAAACCTAAGTGCTCTTGCAATTGCTACTATGAGTGTTATGGTTCCGGCTAATGAAACACTTCAAAGAACTTCCAGGCATTGATTTTCCTAAAAGTAATTTATTGTTACAAAATGTTGGCACGGGCATAATGAAGGTATGCTAAGATCTAAATTCTCTTCCTCTGAGCAGTTAAATTATCAGCCTGATCCCTCCCTAAATTAGCTGTCATATATCACGTTATCCAATTAGTGTGAAGGTCAAAGGTTTCCTTCCTCTCTCTTTCCCGGGCTTTTCCCTTCAAACCTCTTCTGCTCTGCATTAACTCTAAAAATACCAGACAGTTCTGCATATTGTCAAGGCAAGAATATACAGTATTTGCAGCGTTGACAATGAGTACAAATCCCACTAGTTAATCCCAGAGCCTCTTATTATTAGAGAAGAAATCCAGAAAGCGAGCAACAGTCAGGCAAAGAAGCAGCCTTACCAGGAAAAGATCTTTCTCTTACCCTGCTGTATGCATTTGGAAAATGTCTGGAGAAATAGACCATGCTGTCCAGGGCAAGCAGCCCTGGAGGAGTCCGATGCAGATCCAAGGCAGGGTTACTGTTATTCTGAAACGGAACGTTAAATCAACAATTCATACAGGATGCAACTTTCATTTCCATGGCCTCGACATCAATAAACTTCACAAGGCTTTAAAAATCACCTGCTTCATTCTTTGTGCCCCCTCATTCACTCTGCCCACTCTGTAGACCTTGGCCACTCAAAAGATATCACCTTTAAAACCCTCCATAGCATGGGCAGGCTATCTATGGAACTGTCTCACCCCAATAGGAATGGCCTACCCACCTGCGCTGGCAGAAGGGGCATGCTGTGGACCCCGTCAGTTAAAGAATTTTAGGAAGGAAGGAAAGAAGGAAGGAAAAGGAAGGGAGAGAGGGAGGGAGGGAGAGGGAATGGAAGAAGGAAGGAAGGAAGGAAGGAAGGAAGGAAGGAAGGAAGGAAGGAAGGAAGGAAGGAAGGAAGGAAGGAAGGAAGGAAGGAAGGAAGGAAGGAAGGAAGGAAGGAAGGAAGATTGTCTTGTTCTGGCTGTGCTCGCCATGAAAAGTCCTTTCCTGCATCTAAACAGCTTCAAAAAGTCTGAGCAGAACTCACCACAAAGCCCAGCTTGCGGAACTCCTTGGCACAAAGCGAGTGTCGACGCTCAGTATTATAGCTGCCAGCAGAAGACTCGTTCTCAGACACAAAGGCAGCATGGCGCAAAGACTGGAGGAGGTCCCGTTGTTCCTGCACACCCAAAAGAACCAGATTTTCTACTTGGTGTAGGAGGAAGGCAATTGTCCCCCAGATACCAAAAAAGCAGGAGAGGGACTCAAGACCAGGGGACCAGACCTGAGAATAGGGATCCATCGGGGCCCTCATCCGACACTCCAGAAGGTTCAGTGTGAGGGACTGCAGGACATAGAGGTAGTGAGCCATCTCATCCGCAATTGGGTCCGAGGCATGGACAATGTTCTGGAGAGGAGACCAAGAGAGGCGCAAGGGAGGCTATCAGCCAGTCACTGACGCGGCCCCAACCTCCCCCTTGGGAGCAAATATCTCATTTCCCGAAGCGGGGTTCAGCAAGGACAAACGTGCCTGTCCACAGAGGTGAAAGCATTAAGCCAAGAAGTTGCAGGTGAGGATAGAGCGAAGAGACCCTCTGAAAGTTAGATCTGGCAGCCAAGGTGTGAAGGAGCAAAGCAGCTCAGGGGAAGGAAACCGGTGCCACCTCCATGCCCACCTTGTGGATAAATTGCCTGAGGTTCTTCTCCCCTAGATAGTCCATCATGTCCTAGAAATGGAAAGCAGGCAATGAGACAACCCTACATTCTGCCAGACCGTCCTTCTCTTGCAGGTTGGGTGGGCAGGCTTACCCCAATCTATATCCTCGGCTCTTTTTACCCATCGGTAGACACCCTTAAAGGTATAAGATTTCACACATCCACACATCTTACCCTTCTTTCTGCCTCGCCAGCATTGAGGAGGAGAGCAATCAGAAGAGCCATAGCCTTGAGTTGCAGCTGCGTGTTCATTCTAACAGAGAATGTGAAAAAGGTCAGAAATTATACTCCCATCTTATACGGTACCAGAAGGCTAAAGGGGCACAGTTGGGTTGGAAGTTAGCAAGCCTGCGTTTGAGACTGCCGTGGGATGGGATGAGCTCCCGTCCTTCGCTCCAGCTCCTGAAAGAAGCCCCCAACTAGGCATCTCTAGGACAACGGTGATATCACCTTTCAACCCAGAAGCACAGTGGTACCCTTTTCCAAATCCCACGGGTTGTGGGTTTCTTGGAGACTGGACTGCTGGAAAGCTACTCCTTATGGCTTATCATCCTATGCTTACACTTGCAGGAGGGCAATGAGGCGGTCCAGGGTCACCTGTTGCTTGACCAGCTCAAAAAGAGCCCGACTGGTGGGTACCATGTTCTCCAAGATGGCCAAGGAAATCTGCTGGATGGAAGCATCCAGGGGACTGATGTTGATGTAACTCACGATCTACAGCCAAAGAACAGAGTTCAGTCAATTACGACAACTGAGAGGGATCAAAATCTTCATTCACTTAATTGCTCCGATTCTTTCCTTCTTTACAACTACAGAGTTGTGGGTTTTCTACCACGGCTGGCACTCAGTTGGTCCAGTCACCTGGGTAGCATTTCTATAAACTGAGCAGGAACTCATACAGACAGTTATGAGAAAACGGTTAGCTTGCTTTGAAGCCATTGCAACCTGGGTTCTTAAGCTTTTAGCGGTGCAGAGCCTGTGAATACTCAAGAAATTATTAGCAAACTCTTATGATCTAGAAAATTAAATTGTTTCTGGAAATATACACTTTCACTTTGGCTTCCACTGAATTGACTCTAGAAAGCGTAGAGTTGAAAACATCAACTCCAGAAACTGTCAAAGCACTAAAGTAATGCTGGTAACCTTTTCTGTTCCTGAAAGGAGATCTAGATATGCTTAGAGGATCCTTTAGCCGACTGTGATCTTCCTGTGGGATCCCCCTATCACTTCCCATCCCAAAGCCTTTCTGGTGTCAGCCAATAATATTCTTTTTCCTCCCAAGCTTTCCGCACAATAATTTTTAAAAACAGTATTAATGAATTTAACAAACGCAGATTAAAAACCACACAACAGCGATAATTCAAGGGAAGAAATTCAACACAAGAAGTAATGGATGGAAACTCACCAAGGAGAGAAGCAACCTAGAACTAAGGAGAAATTTCCTGACAATGAGAACAATTAACCAGTGGAACAACCTGCCTCCAGAAGCGGTGAATGCTCCAACACTGGAGGTTTTTAAGAAGACACTGGACAGCTATTTGTCCGAAATGGTATAGGGTTACCTGCCTGAGCAGGGGGTTGGACTTGATGACCTCCAAGGTCCCTTCCAACTTTATTATTATTATTATTATTATTATTATTATTATTATTATTATTATTATTATTATTATTATTATTATTATTATTATTATTATTATTATTATCTTTTTCAAATTCTGTATAATGTGACTTTAAGTGGCCCTTTTACACTGAAAGACTGGAGCTTTTGAAAAAAAAAAGCTTTCCTGTGCTATTTATTTTTATACATTTAAGTGTTTTTTTTTCTAAACGTCTAAGATTATAAGTCACTCTCTAATCACCCTAGCAAGATTTGATGATCGGATAGATCAGAAGATCAACCGACAGACAGACGGATGTAGCCAGCCACTGTTCCTTGTTGTGATTCAGAGACAGTCTTGAAAATAAATATGATGCTTCAAAGGCAGAAGTCTTCCAATACGCTAACTTCCTCTTCACTCATTTTAAAAGAAAGAAGAGATAAGAAGAGAAGGGAGAAGTGGTGTGTGCGAGAGGGAGAGAGAGAGAGAGAGAAAGAGCCTATGAACCCAAAACAAGATGTCTATGAAGTTCACATGGCCAACCTTAGTTTCCAACTCCACCAGATCCTGCCCATCTCCTGAGCAGAAGTCTAGAACCCAGATGCTCTGGTAGAACAGGGCCTGCTTCCCTGTGATGACCCTTACCTTTTTGATGAAAGAGGGGCTGAGGGTCTCCCAGGAAACAAAATCATGTTCCATCAGCTCCACAAAGGCCTTCAGGGTGTACGCCAGAATCTCCCCTGTACTGGAGTAACAGACAGCAAACAGGGTAAGAGCCAAAGGGTGGGTGGAAGTCTCAAACCCAGAAACCAGAGGGAAGGTGCATTAGAGGAACCTAGGAGGAGAGAGAAGGAAGGAAGGAGAAGAAAAAAGAAAACGTCTCCATAAAAGCCAACATCCCAGGGGAAAAAAGGGCCAAGGAAGCAGAAAGAGATGGGGCAGACTATTCTACGGAAAACCTCAAGCGCCGTCACAATAACGTTGTTGAGAAACGCCTGCTTGTTAGATTAGAAAAGTGCTCTCTTTGCATAACTCACCCTGGTCACAGTGGACTGTTGAATCCCTAAAATTTATGATTATTAACTGATGACTTCATGTTATAAAGAGAAAGCAGAGGAAACTCATGGAGAAGGGAGAGTGAAAATGCACAGATTTCGCTAAACCTATTTGGATTGATGCCCTCCTTCTTGGAACTCAACTGGACCGGCGGTTCATTGATCAGTTAACTTTTATTGGCTGAAGACGGCAACCCCAATGAAAAACAGCATCTAACATGAAAAATGTGGGCAAAGCCAAAGGAAAACTATAATAGTTTTGGGGGGGGGGAATTTTCAGAGTGTTCCCCATTATGGTAAGGCTTAAAAACAGCGGTGCTCTTAACATCGCAGTCGTTTTCATATTTCACCAGAAAACTGGCTCCAGGAATCAAACAAGGGCATTGTAGACGACCACATTCAGTCCATATGGTGTGGGTTCTCTACCTGAGGAGTTGCAGAAAATATCCTTAAAAGAAACTGAACACTCATGCACAGAGCAGTTGGATTGGTGAAGCACCCTTTTGCCCTGAAGATACTCACTTATTGTCTTCTTCCACAATCAAGAAGAGCTGATTAAGGCCATTTCTGCTAATAAACTCCTGTGCAAAAGCCACATCCCGGGAGAGGTTTGCCAACTTCTTCAAAGAATTGGTCTTCACATCCACACTGTTGCTTTGAATACCCCCGTGCAGTTTGGCTGCCTCTTGATCCTGCAAGGAGATTTTGGGAGATCAAAGAGGATGATGATGATGATGTAGTCCAGTGGTTCTCAACCTTTTTAATGCCGCGACCCCCAACCGGTCGTAAGTCGAGGACTAAACCGGTCGTAAGTCGAGGACTACCCAACCGGTCGTAAGTCAAGGACTTTCCCTGCCCGGGAGCGCCACGCATGCGTGGTTCCGCCCCCTGCGCCGGCCGGGGCATAGCTGGCAAGCGGCAGAGACGGAGCAGGCCGACCACCAGCTGGCCCAGCTCAAGGGAGGTAAGGCACCAGCCGGAAATGGGGGAAAAAATGGCGGACAGCCTTGTTTGGCGACCCCCGTGAAATGGTCGATCGACCCCAAATGGGGTCGCGACCCATAGGTTGAGAACCGCTGATGTAGTCACACTTTGAATATTGTTGCATTCAGTTCTGGTCATGTTGCTCAAAAAGGAGCAAAAACCATCAAAATTTGCAAGATGACAGAAATCCAGTTAAGAAAATAAGGGAAAAATCATGCAAAAAATCCACACGTTTGGAATCTACAGCTTCTGTAATAGACATCAACTTTGAGCAAAGATAAAATTCGGAATGCTTTTCCCGTTTACAGTGGGACCTACCGGAGCAGTTGTCAACTGCAGGATGCTCCCGTTCTTAATTTCTCCACGGTTCTAACAAAACAAGACAAGAAAATAATTGCAGAATCAAAATCTTGCATTCAGAAAACTGGATAAAAGCAGCCAAAGAGGAACTGGAGGAAGAAAAAAAAAGTTCAAATCAATTTGTATCTTGCCAACATTTTAACTAGCCCGCTAGGAGAACTGAAAAATAAAAAGACACGGTAATCGTTCAATTTCCATCCTTCTGCTGCCAGCCTATAACCTTCCTTGCGGGCATTTTTTTCAACATCAGGCTGATCTTTCTCAAATGCACTTACCAGTTCTGTGATGTAGGCTTGCTGGCCATCCACGTACTGCAGAGCATAACGCTCGGAATTATTCAAGTTCCATCTGTGTTAGAGACAGAAAATCAGAGTGCTGCCAGGGCAGAGATCACAAAATAATTGGGGGATTTCCATCTCCCAGGAAAGAAATTGAATGTTCAAGGAGACGGGTCGTCTGAATCATGCAGATTGCTTCCTCTGCTACTCCACTAAGGAAACTACGTTTTCTACAGAGTGTAATCAAATTCTGTGTTTACGAAAGGAACATGACCCTCAACTCAAAAAAGAAGAGGGAATTAAAGAGAAAACTATACACGTTACACACACACAGACACACACACACACTGGGATAGCAAAATTCTCTGCAATAGACTTTTCAACCTTCCTAGAGATTTTTCCATCAACATGTGCATGTGGCAGATGAGTCCATGTGTGCATGTGCACAAACCAGAAGTCACACTCCAGAAAGAGCATGGTGAGGACAGAATAACAGAGGTGGAAGGGACCTTGGAGGTCTTCTAGTCCAACCCCCTGCTCAAGTAGGAGACCCTATATTATTTCAGACAAGGGGCTGTTCAGTCTGTTCTTAAAAACCTCCAGTGATGGAGCACCCACAACTTCTGAAGGCAAGCAGTTCCACTGGTTGATTGTTCTCACTGTCAGATTTCTCCTTAGTTCTAGGTTGCTTCTCTCCTTGGTTAATTTCTTGTCTTGCCTTCTGGTGCTTTGGAAAATCGGCTGACCCCTTCTTCTTTGTGGCAGCCCCTTAGATATTGGAAGACTACTATGTCCTTCTTTTCATTAAACTAGACATACCCAATTCTTGCAACTGTTCTTCATGTGTTTTAGCCTTCAGTCGCTTAATCATCTCTGTTGCTCTTCTCTGCACTCTTTCTAGAGTCTCAACATCTTGTCCTCAACAAGAAGACAAAGTAACTCCTCTTACTAACTGAATGAACTACCAATTAAACTTCACTTCTTTTACAATGAGGCTCAGTGTAAAATTGATTCTTCCCTTCTCAGCAAGTATATACACACCCTATCCTCTTTCACAGCTACAAACCACCCCCTTTAAAAGGATAAGCACAGACCCTTCATTCCAACAGGAAATGAGGGTAGAGGAGAGGATGGAAAGAAGAAGGTGAAAGGTAGTGAAGAGGACAGGAGAGGTGGAGGGCAAAACATCTTAAAAAATGCCTGCTCTCAGTAGTTTGGGATCCTCACTGATTTACAGCTGTGTTTCTCAACTTTGGCCATTTGAAGATGCGTTCAAGATTCAAGTTCAAGAAAGCTAAAGGGTGTTCACAAAACTAAAGGCAGAAAGCAGACAGACTCTCCCTTAAAACACATTTAATAACTTAAAGCAAGCGTGGAAAAATGTGGTACGTTTTTGTAAAACATCTGGGAGGCTGCCGCTTCTATCTGGAACTGTTCTACAAATCAGTCTCAGACATTTTTTTTGCTGATCGGCTACAAGGCGAAAGCAAAACAGAATAGCTACTCACACTTCACAAACTTCTTTCACAACTGCTGACAAGGGCTTAGCCTGCAATTAAACATAAACAGCATGTGACCTTTTCGACATGATTTGAGGCTTAAGCAGAGCTGGTGCACGGAGCATAAAATTGGGTACCTCTGAGTTGGCACTCTTCAACAGGCCATTTTGCAAACTGGTTAAAAAGAAAAAATGTAAAGAATCGCTACCTGATTCAGTTCTATGAGCTGGGGAATGGCACCCATCATCTGCACGGCAATTTTGACCACATCTTTGGAAGGTGGCATGGTCTGCCTTTCTCTTGGTTGACCGACAGGTCTTTCCTGCAAAAGCATGCAGAAGGTCCCTCATCACATATAACCAAGACAGGGATCAGAATGGAGAAATTTTATCCAGGCAACGGAGAAGTTTATTGCTAAGATAATTGATCATTGTGTTTTGCCTGTGATATCTTAAGTTTGCTTTAGTGACTGTTCAAAGTTACACGGGCACTGAGAAAAACTGAACTATGGCTATTTTTCACACTTATGACTGTTGCAGCATCCCTGTGGTCATGTGACTGACATTTGGGTGCGTGACGGTCGCAGTGTTCCGAAGTCACGTCGATCCCATTTTGCGGCCTTCTGACAAGCAAAGTCGATGGGGAAGCCAGATTTGTGTAACAGCCATGTGACTAACTTAACCACAGTGATTCACTTAACAAATGTGGCAGGAAAAGTCATAAACTGGGAGGCAAGACTTACTCAACAAATGTCTCACTTAGCAGCATAAATTTTAGGCTCGGTTGTGGTCGTACGTTGAAGACGACTTGAATATGCAAAGCTGGGCACTTCTGCAATTGACACACTTGGGAAATTGATCCCCAAGGTGCATGCTGATAAGATCTGTGCACTGCCTTACACAGGAGGCACTTAGCCCTGAAATTGCACAGAGATGTGCAAACTGAACTGAAAATGGACATGCGTGCCTCTGTAAAGTAGGGGTAGTCAACCTTGGCTCTTTTATGACTCGTGGACTTCAACTCCCAGAATTCCTGAGCCAGCACAGCTGGCTCAGGAATTCTGGGAGTTGAACTCCACGAGTCATAAAAGAGCCAAGGTTGACTACCCCTGCTGTAAAGCTTATATGAACTTATGTTCATGTTATGCCAAATAGTTCCAATTGCATCACCTGCAAAGGAAAAATAGGTTGGTTCCCACTGTAGCCAAGTAGCCCTCCTTTAGAGATTCAGACGGCGATGGAAAAGTAACTTTGCGACCGGTCCTCACACTTATGGCCTTTGCAGGTCTGTAAAGCAAAGCAAAAACCTGGAATAAGATCATAAGCACAGTCGAGGTGACACTTAGCAATCACTTCACTTAATGCACAAGTTGCCAGTCCCTAAAGTGGTCACTAAACGAGGATTACCTATAGTTGGTGTCACCTTCCCTTCCCTTGCGTGACTGAAGTGGGTTGCAAGGAGAGAAAAGGTCAAAGCCTTCACTGACATAAAGAGGCCCCAATCCCAGGAAAAGACTCGGCTGCTTTCAAGAGTTGCAGACCCGCGCGATCTCGGGTGCCTTTTTTAGAATCAAATTTGAAAAGCTGCGGAGCTTTTACTGCAAACCATCATTGCTCACTTGTTCCCCAGAACTTGGCATGCAAATGGGTGAGGGGGGGAAGGAGAGGAGGACGAGGACAGTCACTCAAAGTCACATCTGCCGAGCCACTGCCGAGAATTTATTATTAGTCGGAGGGGTGGAGAATTAACTAGAAACCCACAAATGGATCGACTTCTAGGAACCAGCCCTCGCTTCAGGATGAAAATTAGAGTTTGTCACTTGGATGATTCAAGATACTTCCTCTTAATTCCACCGAGAGAGCCGGCCTGGCTTGGCATTCTTCCACCAAGCACCGATGGAGGGTGAGACCTCACTTAAATACCTTAACTTAAAAATCTTAATAACTTAACTGCTCCAGCACCAAATCCACACAATCCCTTTGGTCCTCACTCTGCTCAACCCCACCACCTCCCCCTACCCAATATATATATATATTCCTTTGGCTCATCTTTTGCTTCTGGCAAGGGCGGCACCAGCACCGCCCAGCCCAGGAGTCGGCTCAGCCTCGCCAGGCCTGCCATTTCCAGCCCGGCCTACCTTGCAGGGCTCCACGGGAGGGTGACCAGCTGGGGAAGGAAAACCGAATTAAGCAAAACAGCCGGTTCCCGCTTTCGATTTATCCTTCCCAACCGTCTCCCGGAGGAGGCAACTTCAGAGGGGAGCCAGACCGGGCCAACAAGAGCCGGAAACTCGGCCGCAAGTCTTCCCCCGCCCCCCCACTAAACTTTGGAAAAGGAAGAAGGAGCTGCGGGACTCCCCGAGACTGCAAAGTCCTCTTACGCGTCGGCCAGCAGCTGCCCGAGCCTTCCCGGCTCCGGGGGGGGGGAGGAAAAAAGGGGCGCCCCCGCCTCCTCCGCTTCTTAGCTGGGGAGGCTTCCTCCGGCCATCCGTCCCCGCGCTCGGGCCGGGGATCAAGCGGCGCGCTCCAGGCTGGGAAGGCGGCGGGCCAGGAGCGCCCGGTCCGGTCCGGCCCGGCCCGAAAGAGGCGCCTGCAAGCCGGCGGGCGCGGCGGAGAAGGGCGGGCGCCTCCTTGGCCAAGCGGCGCTGGAGAGACGCGAGTCAGCGCGCAGCAACAGCCGCCCCCGCCGCCGCCGCCTCCTCCTTCCCCCGCTTGGCCGCCCGTCCTTCTCCCGCTCGGCGCTCGGCAGTTCCGGGGCGGCGGCCGGACGGGCTGCCCGCCCCCGAAGGAGGACGGCCGTCTCCGCCCCTGGGCAGGGAAGGCAGGAGGGGCCGGACGCCGCGGAGCGTCCGGCGGCCCGAGCCTGTTGCGCGCGCCCAGCACGTGCGGATGCAGCTCCGGGCCGGGCCGGGCCGGCCCGCGAGCGCCGAGGCTTCGTCCCGCTAGCCAACACCCGTTCTGGCGTTTGCTTTTAGGGTAATATAGTAAATTGAACAATTATTAGAAGAATGATGTGTCTGCATAACTGCAATAATGATGTGTCTGCATAATTGCTCGAATAATGAGGTAATGCATAATCACTGGGAAAATTCACTGGGAAAGTTCTGTGTCAGTAATATGTGGCTAACCAAATGCGCTTTGCACATGGATACTTTGTATGTAGCAAAACCTTCCATTGTAGGCCTGTGAGAAACGCTCCTAATGTATCACAGTGTGTATTTCAATGTGTAGCCCTTTGTTCTTTAAGGAGGGGAGTATAAAAACTGAAGTCTAATCCCGCCCTCCTCGTTCAGAATTGCCTATCTCCATATGCCTCTCAACCTGCGCAAATAAACCTCTCTGCTAAACCCCTCTGGAATTCGTAAGAGTTCTTTCGTTTTCCACAAGAAGGGGGTTACGTGAACCGTCTAACCGCGGGCCGGTCTTTCGAGCCCAGGGCTGTTTCTCCAGCTGCATTGACCGGCTGTGGAGCCCTTTGCATAGGGTTGCCAGGTGTCCACTATTTGAGTGGATAGTCTGCTTTTTTCACATTATGTTCACTATTTTTTTTCACAAAATAGTGGACATTTTTTTTATTCAAAAGCTTTATGATGAAATGGTACGTAATCTAAAGCTGTAGTCTACTTTTTTTTACTACTTAACCCCCCCCCCCCATCCCACTTGTCCGCTATTTTTTGACAGCAGACCTGGCAACCCTACCTTTGCAGGTTAGCCTCTCCTTTCCTCCCAATGGCTCCTCTCTGCTCCTTCCTGGAATTGTACCACGAGGCTCCCAATCCAATTTCAGATGGCCATTCTTTGTATGCTCCTTATGTAGGATCCAGGGTTTTATTCCACTCCCGCCTTTTATCCACAAGTATTCATAAGCCCACCTGGGACCCCAAAAAGGCTACCTGAAAAGGACCCTGGCAGTCAGGTGCCAAATCTTAAAAACAGTCTCCGCTCAGGATTTTTTGTAGTTCCGATATGGCAAATGTGCTATGGAGGGTATGAATTGCATTCTTCGAAAACAGAGGCAGAAAGCTTTGGAAAGTTTGTTTATTCACTCAGGGAAAAAAAACTGTACAAATATTACAGGCAAGTCTCTTCTGCTGCAAAAAAGTATAAAAATAATCTTTTTATATGAATCAAAACTCATTTCTCTCCCTTCCCCCACCCCAAACATTTCCTCTGTGCATCCTTGGGGGATGTCATCTAAGGGGTCAGAGCACAAGAAGGTGACAGCAAAGAGAAAGGAAGGTTTGGCTGCTAAAGAAGAGCAGGCCCAACCACGTACAAAAAGCAGAGAGGGGATGCAATGAAGGCAGGCAAGAGAGTCCTGTGGCTTGCTGGGGAAAACCACACAGAGCTGGAAGAACGGCTCAGAAACCCTGGAGGTGGAACCGTGTCCTTTCAGGACAGGTGAATGGGACTCCAGAGGTTTTTTTGAGATCGTCACCTGCCTGGAGGCAGAGACAGGTGCTCCTAGGCTGGAGAGGTGAAAAGCAACATTCCTATCCAGAAAAAACTCAGAAGTTGCTTTCCTGGACCCTTGAGCCCAGGGTTTTCAATCTTGGCAGCTTAAAAGATGAGTGGACTTCAACTCCCAGAATTCCCCAGCCAGTACGGCTAGCTGGCGAATTCTGAAAGTTGAAGTCCACCCATCTTTAAAGCTGTCAAGGATTGAGATCGGTGGCTTTCGTCGGATTCTTAAGAGACCCACCCAGCTTTGCCTAGATCTCCTTAATGACAATAGAAACATTCCCTGATTGGGTGGTTTTTTTGGGGGGGGGGAAGAGAGAGATCAGGATCAGGCCTGCCCGCTCGTGTGAACCCTTCCACAATACTAAGCACACTTCATTCAGTCCCTTCAAAAAGAGATTTTTCAGCCAAGCAGTTCAGGCTGAACTGGGATGCGAGAGAGCTCCCCCTTCGGATCTACACCCTTCCCATCCCAGTGGCCCGCACTGCAGGCAGTGGGCCTTTGTCAACTGGGACGGCACGTGCGGAAGCCTGAGAATCGGGAAAGTGACATTCGGGGTTGGCACGTGGCGTAACCCGGATGCCGACGGGCGATGAAAAGGATATAGTTTTCCAGGGAGAGATGTCCAGAAGTGCAGAGGGGAGGATATAGGGCAGGGGTAGGCAACCTTGGCTCTTTTAGGACTCGTGGACTTCAACTCCCAGAATTCCTGAGCCAGCCATGCTGGGGGGAGAGAGGTTTCCAAGCTGAGCCGTGCTGGCTCAGGAATTCTGGGAATGGAAGTCCGCGAGTCATAAAAGAGCCAAGGTTGCCTACCCCTGGTATAGGGGAAGCGAGGGCTCCTTCCATGTGCTGCTGACCAGCAAGGATCAGGAGAGGTCCTTGATGGAGGAGGCCGATGGTGCCTATCGGAGAGAAGGCGGGAAAGGGCAGGCCATGGCTAGGTTCCAAAGAGAAGTCGGACTTCGTCGACAGGACCGGCAACGTAATACAGCTAGCAAATCGCGAAGGGAAACAGCAGCCCCAGTGCATCCCGAAAAGCCCTATTCTAGCAGCTGTGGAAGGAGGACACACTATTGAGACTCACTTCACTACGGGTGTGTGTGACTAAATCTCCTCCATTGGAGGCTCCTGAGGGAGACACAGGGGGCCTTGAAAGAGAGAGAGGAAGAAAACCTCCCATTAGCCCCAGCCAGCTCTTCCCTTGCTGATGCAGCACAGCTGCAGATGGGGTGGGGGGGGGGGTTGTAACCCAGGACGGGTGTGCAAGAGGGTTTGTGTGGCCCAGCAGGCAGGTCCACCTGCTTGAAGCCTGAACTGTGTTTTGCGCACCCTTTACAAAATCATTTCTCAGTTTTGACTCTTTGGAGGAAAGTGACTGTGCAAAACTGGCACCTTAAAAAACACGCACTCGCGCACACGCACACACACACACGCACACATATGATAAGTCTACACAGCCTAAAAGGAAAGGGCTTCGTGCTTCGTGTGAACAGATGGGCCAGCAGGGTTACTTGAAACGCCACTTCTAAGCACATAAAACCGATCGGCTGAGAGGCCTGCATTCCATCATGCCAAAAGCAGACAATTGCTGAAGAGAGGAAAAGTCGTCGTCTGGATTATACAAACAAGCCAGAAGGGAGGGTCAGGGGTGGGTTTTCCTAAAAAAAAACAACTACCTGGCTACGGTTTGGCTGTTCTGTTGGTAACCAGAAAGGAAGAAAGAGGGAAGGGGGGGGGGGAAGATGCAAAGTGCCCCCAGCAGTGCAAGGATGCCCAAACAGGCTAGGGGGGGGGGACTCAAGGAAGCGCTTTTGCTGTTTGTCAAGATTCAACAGCAGTGCCTGGGGAGGAGACCCACCCAGGATCCAGGGGAAGGGGAAGGACAGGACCAAGATTAGCCAGGGAAGAAGAAGAGAGGAAAAAAAAGAAAAGCTGGAGACGAAGCTCCCATCCTCGTTGGTTTTCGGTCTAGACCAGAGCAGCTCTGTGTTTCACTCAAGCAGTAGCAGACAAAGAATCCAAAATGAAGACTTGGGGGGCTTTCCCGCACATTCCCTCGAAACAGGTTTGTTTCTTTAAAAGAAAAAGAAAAAAAAAGAAATCCGTGTCCCAAAGTCCATCCTGGCAGCCAAAGTCAGAGGTTGAGGATCGGGACGTCGAAAAGGTCGCACACCCCTTCGCTCTCGTCCAAGTTGTAGATGTAGTCGTGGTCTCCGGGAGGGGGGGAAAGGCGGAGTAAGGGTGCAAACACTGCCCGGGAGAGAAAAAGGAGGCACTTAAGAGGCCTGTGCCTCTGACTCAGGAATCCCACACCTTAGCCCAGGGGTAGGCAACCTTGGCTCTTTTAGGACTTGTGGACTTCAACTCCCAGAATTCCTGAGCCAGCCGTGCTGAGGGGAAAGGGACAGGTTTCCATGCTGAGCCATGCTGGCTCAGGAATTCTGGGAGTTGAAGTCCGCAAGTTATGAAGGGGCCATAGTTCCCCCATGCTGGCTCAGGAATTCTGGGAGTTGAAGTCCACGAGTCATAAAAGAGCCAAGGTGGCCTACCCCTGCTCTAGGAGGCTCACCGCTTAGAACAGGAGGACTTAGGACAGGGGTAGGCAACCTTGGCTCTTTTAGGACTCGTGGACTTCAACTCCCAGAATTCCTGAGCCAGCCATGCTGAGGGGAAAGGGAGAGGTTTCCAAGCTGAGCCAGGCTGGCTCAGGAATTCTGGGAGTTGAAGTCCACGAGTCATAAAAGAGCCAAGTTTGAAGACCCCTGGTTTAAATATTGAAATATTTTTCCTCACAGTCACGTGATCAAAATTCAGGCATTTGGGCAGGGGTAGGCAACCTTGGCTCTTTTATGACTCGTGGACTTCAACTCCCAGAATTCCTGAGCCAGCCATGCTGAGGGGAAAGGGAGAGGTTTCCAAGCTGAGCCATGCTGGCTCAGGAATTCTGGGAGTTGAAGTCCACCAGTCATAAAAGAGCCAAGGTTGCCTACCCCTGCCTTAGCCCAAGGTTTCTCAACCTTAGCAATCTTAAGACGTGTGGACTACGGTTCCCAGAATTCCCCAGCCAGCCACGCTCAACTAAAACAATGCAGATTTTTTTTTTTTTATAGCTGCACTCCCTCGTTTTCTCGGCTATCCTGTGTGGCCTCACTCCAAACCTGTTGAGTTGAAGAAACGCAAGTCCTACCTTCAGATGACATCAGCTCTTCCAGCAACTCAGAATTCACAGACTCTATGGGAAGAATAATAAAAAAAAAAGAGAGAGAGAATGCACGGGAAGTTTACGGGCTTTGCGAAATACCTGCGTGCCTATCCCAGTGCCCCAAAATTGATGGGGTAATTCTTCCAGCCCAGCTCCTTCTGTCTCGTGTCTCAATGCTCTCCTCTCTTGACTACGTATGAGTAATGGGGCAGATCCTGCAGGCTCCCACGTGAGCAACATCAAAACAATGCGGAGGGGGGAATTTGCTGTATGAATGTAACGCGTTTAAATGTTTTAATCTTTCGGCACGTAAAGTCTTCCTTACGAGCAGAAAACCAGCACGGGAGACCTAAGCCAAGAAAAGTGCTTCCTTCTGTTGCTATTCCACAAGAGCCCAACAGAGGACCTTAATCAAGTTTGCTTAAAGTAGCCTGAACTTTTCTGAACTTCCAAAGGAAAAATAGGCAAAGCACAAACAAGGGACACTGCTACGGGGACACTAGCAACGCACCTCTGGTTGGCTCAAACATTTCTGAAAGCTCTTTGGGAAATTCCAGTACTGGAAAAAAAAAAAAAGAACAAAGGTTGCACATCTTAAAGACCAATGCGATTGTTAGGCCGGCTCTTGTTTCCAACCTGAAGTCCTTCAGATGTTTGGGGCTTCAATTCCCCACAGGAATAAAGATAGGAATTCTGCAAACAGTAATCCCAACACATACAGGAGCCCAGGTAGGGAAAAAGGCCAAGGTACAATTCCAGAAACTGCAGTCTGCTAAGAGTTCTCGTTTTTATGTCACTCAAAGATTCCCATTGTCTACAGCAGTGTTACTCAACCTTTAAGCCCAGGGGTCTTCAAACTTGGCCCTTTTATGACTTGTGGACTTCCAGCTCCCAGAATTCCTCAGCCAGCAAAGCTTTGCTGGCTGAGGAATTCTGGGAGTTGGAAGTCCACAAGTCATAAAAGGGCCAAGTTTGAAGACCCTGGCTTTAAGCTGGGTGGACTTCAAGTCCCAGAATTCAGGCTGGCTGGGGAATTCTAGGAGCTGAAATCCACGTTATCTTAAAGCTGTCCTGGTTGGGAAACACTTATCTACACAGCTCATTTCTCTGGTTATCCATCGCTTCCTCTATCTCTGCTTCATTTTAGCAGAACGTCTGAGAAGAGGAGCCAGGACACGCTGTCAAACACACCAATGGGCTTGGAACTAATAGCACCCCATATCCAGGTACAACGCAGGGGTCAGGGCCAAACAAACTCAGCCTGGATCAGGGTCTGTCTATTCTGATCCATCATAACTGCCCACCCGAGAGCTGAAAGGCTGGAGCACTTACTTTCTGTGGGGAAGGACTTGATTGGTTCAAAAGAGGTGAAGGAACTGGATAGGACAGAGCTGCTGTCCAGCAAGGCGGAGGACTGGAGGGGCTGCGTATCAAGCCCGGCCGGTGGGCTGGTTGGTACCGTCGAAGGGGTGAGCGAGTCCAACCCCTCACTGCTTTTGGATTCTGCTGTCGGGTTGCCTGTCTCTGCAATGGGAAGACGGTCACAGAAAAATAAAGATAATTATTTAAGCTTGCGTGCCGCTCGATGATCTATTGTGCCAGATGGATTCCACACAGCTGGGGGAAAACAGCTGGCACTCTCATAGCAAACGTCAGGAAATGTACTTTAAGCTCCTCTCTTGTAAAGAAACTCAAAGTTAGCACCTTCCCATCACTCTACGCCAGCCCAGGGGAGGCCTTGTGGCCAAAGGGTCATTTTAAGTGCAGGAGATGCTCCAAGCAGGGCTGTTAAAACAGGCTCCCGTCTCATTCACATTCCCAATATGAGTGTTTTTTATTTTTAAGAGCAGAATTCTGTTCCTTCTCCGGGAAAATCTCTGGAAGGGTCAGCCGACCTCATTCCTGCTCTTCCGATGGGGGAGCTGCCATCAAAATCTTGGAACGGCCCAGGTGATCTTTCACCCCTAGGATGGCTGGCTTGGAATACGTCCGACTGCAAACAGGGCCAGAAAGGATTTGCATTTTGGAATGCTTTTCCATATAAGACTCCGTTGTTTTCATGGAGAAAAGTAAGCATCCGCAATAAACCTGCAACCCTTTTGCTCAATAGGTTTGTTTCCTCCTAAGAAAGGACGTGGCGTTATGCGATTTCCATCTCAAGATTCTGGCTGTAGCAGAAATTCAAACGAGGGTTGTGCAGCAGCAAGTAAAACAGGGCAAGGACAAAGTGGATCCAGCTAGGACAAAACCTAATTTTGATCCTTGGTTTCACGTGACTACGTTTCTACAGAATTAATCTAATTTAATAGGGATCTGCCTCACCTTTTGGAGGTGCCCTGGGAGCAAATGATTTGAGTCAGCAAATATAATAGCATAGCTACTGGTCCACTTTTAAATGTGCCTTTAAATTTAATGAATGCTGTGCGTTTCACTCGTCCCTTTGCAGCTCACCTGCCACAGTGGCCGGTTTGGGTACAGGGGATCTGTGGTCTTGCGTGCTGTTGGGTACAGACACAGGAGGGTGGGCACCACTGGGAAGAGATGTCTCCTGGGAATGGGGAATGGGTGGCTTCTTAGAGGGTGTGATTGGCTGGCACTGAATGAGGTCTTCAGGGGGAGGGACGGGAAGCACCACCGGAGGAGAGCTCCAGGCATCCTTATTTACTAGGAGAACATCGATGGAACCGCTGCTACTCTTCAAGTGGATCTGGTATTTCCTCTGCCCGTTTAAACCCTAGAGAGAAAGAAAAAGTAAGGTTGCACGGTATATGAAGTATATGAACAATATATGAGAACGGCATTGGTGCAACGGCATCGCCTGATGTCCTCACAATTGGAGAAACACACAACCTTGAAAGGAAACCCATGATGTCAGTGTGGAATTCTTTCTTCTCTAGGTACAGGTGAGCCCAAGCCTTCTCCATCGTCACTAAAGGAGAGGCCTCTCTCGAGTTGTTGAGCCCCACATCCAGACATATCTTGGATGAAAGTAGCCTATAGTATCAAGAGGAATTGGGGGGTGTCAGCTCAGCACAGTTCCAGGCACCTTAGAGCAGGGGGCTGCATCAGCATTGCGGTTGCCCTTGAGGCGGGTGGTGGCCAGGGTGGGTGCAGCCTACTGGGTGGGCGTGGATGGAGTGGGTGTAGCCTACTGGGTAGGTGTGGCCAGCTCTACATCATTCGTGTCAAGGGTGCCTGTGGGGGCCTGGGCAGGAATGGGACAGATCTGAGGGTCTCTGGCAGAAGGGGGTGGGATCAGGGCAAGCGCCAAGGCATGGTCCACCGGAGGAGCCTCACTGTTCCTCTCAGGCCATGGGGGGGTGGGGGTGCTTATGGAGCTAAGACTGAATGCGTTTCAGCATAGATGGCCACCACAAAATTGTACATTGGCTCCCGGCCGGCCTAGGCCAGGGCCAAGGCAGAGGGGGCCGTTCCCTCACTGTTTCCAGGATGGCTTCGTGGGCCACATGAAACCACTTCGCGGGCCGCATCCGGCCCCCGGGCCTTGTGTTTGACATGTCTGAATTAGAGACCCTAGGAAAGTTGAACATGAGATCTGCACAGAATAGAATCCATTAAGATCTCTTAGGCCGGGGTTTCCCAACCTTAACATATTTAAGATGCAAGGACTTCAACTCCCACACTTTCCCAGCCAGGGGAACTCTGGGAATTGAAGTCCATGCGTCTTCAAGGTTGCACCTGTTGGGAAGCCTTGCCTCCAGCCAAATAGATATTTCTGCAACAGCAATATTCCCTTGGGAGTAATCCACAAGAGACTTCATGGGGATGGTGATTACAGAGTCGCTTTCTTTTTATCACTGTTTTTTTTTCCTTCCTGGTACCCATTTTTTTTCTCTCTCTCTCTTAACTTCCTTCTCTTCCTTCTGCATCTTGATTCCCCGGACATCAAGCTAAATTGGACTGCTCTTGAATATATATCTAACTATTATTGTTTCTGGAATGCCATGTTTGATTGGTAACTTTTTGCAGAGGGCTTTCTCTTCTTATGTTGTGCTTGTAACCTGCCAGATACGTTTGGCTGCAGAAGGCCCCCAATCCCTGAAGCTCAACTTGAAGAGAGATCTCTGCTAGCATCTCCACACTTCTACACCCACCTCAGGGACAGGAACTTCTAGCTGAGTTCCTGACGGAGCTCGGATGGCCAGCAGGGTGTCTCCTGCAACGAGAGACCAAAAGGATGCATTCAGGAAACAGAGCTAAGTTGAGAGGAGCAACACAAGGTTATACACTCCACGGTTCCTAACCCCAGCTGAGCGCAATGTTTTCGGCCCCTAATTGCCAGGACGTTTCTTCCCATTTTCCACACTCCCAATTCTACCCAGAATGCTAAAAAAGCCAATCAAAGAGAAGTACATCCGGGGGAAGAACCAATTGCTTATAAAGATGTTGCAGAGGTGGAATTATATGAAACAGGCAGGATCCTAGGGATCAAGTGACACAGCCTCCTTACCTGGGAAGCACTTGCACAGGTCCTCGTCGGTCACATAGGCTAATGTTCCTGAAGTTAAGTGAAAAAGCAGCTGCCACTGGCATCCAGCAAGATCATTCCCCCACGGTATTTTGTTTTTCTTTTTTACGACCCTGTAATCCCTTTTTATCGGGGTGGAGTCAGGGCGATTGAATGGAGCTGAGCATTTACTGTCAGGATGCCCTTCCTGATGCCTATGCAGGGTTTGCAGCAGATATTTACTCTTTGTGCCTGGATAAACATCTGTCATTGCCTAGGACTAAACTCTCAACCTTCCGAGTGGGAGGCGAGTGTATTCACCTCTAGGCCACCGCGTCACTCATTTCCTCCAACAGAATATAAAAAGAAAATCTTCCAGCATTTAGGACAGAGGTGAACAAGTTAGGACTCCAGGAGCCTTGCTCTTCAGCCTTCTGCTCCAGTTCCACCACATCACTGCTAGATTATAGGAATGCCACGGTTGAAAATCAGTAAGTCGTTTTCTGCCATTCCGAAATAGATACACACAATACATGTAGCCTACACCCTAACAAGTTTCAATCCTGTTAAAAATTAATCATCCTTTTGTCCTACCCTCTCACCACCAATCCTGGAAAACTGGAGCCCAACCAGTTTGTATTGTTCATTGTGACTCTCCACTGGAAATACACCAACGGGCCACCAACACGGGGAAAAAATAATAATCTAAGGAAGAACTAGGGCAAAATCAAAGCAGGATAAGAGAAAGGATACTAACTTGAAACACAAGGAACACTATTATTGCACGTTATTAGGACAGTGGGATAAAAGAGCCTTTTCTAATTTGATGCTGGCAGTTTTTCTATAACACTATGCAAATTAGGTTACCTGCCTAGAAACTTTTGTAGCAGAAAATACTCAGCTTGCATTAAAAAAAAATTGCCCTATGCAAATTGGCATCATCAATGATTTTCCAGGACTTGATATTTTTTGCTGAAAATGTGTCCATTCACTCTGAGACTACCAATTCCAGAATTCCCAGACAACATGACTGAATTCTGGGCACTGCCACCCCAAATGTCCAGGAAGAAGAACCATAAAGTTAGGCCGGAGCAGAATCATCAGAAAGAACCTACATTTGTCCGAAATGGTATAGGGTTTCCTGCCTGAGCAGGGGGTTGGACTAGATGACCTCCAAGGTCCCTTCCAACTTTATCATTATTATTATTATTATTATTATTATTATTATTATTATTATTATTATTATTATTATTATTATTATTATTTTAGCATCAAGGAAACAAGAAAGCAGAAAGAACCAGAGTAGACTCAAAGGATATTCGTTGTTCTGTACGTCATCGGTGACGTTTCTAATACTCTGCTGCACCCACATCTTTTGCTGCTCCAGCTCGCGTTCCCGATGCTCCAGATCCTCAATCTCTGCTTTCAGTTCAATCAACTTGTGGGCAATTTCACGGGTATTACAGCCAGGCCCAACACCTCTGACAAGAACAAGAGAAATCAAGGGATTGGTCTCCTCCGCAATGTATTAAGAGTCAGATATCAGCACCAATGTCCACTTTAACAACACCCAAGGCCTGCAGAAGTCACGGTGACAACACCTTCCAGTTTTTTTTTTTTTTTAGTTCTGTCTTTTCCAAAGAAAATTCAGTGACACGCTTAAAGCACCTATGAGAGAACTCAAAGACCCCTTTCAAAGTTCTTCTCTGCCTCATAATTTCCTGGGGGGGGGAATCCCCTTTAAAAAGTCTCAAAAGTTCTCATCCCTGGAAGATCAAGTACCTGGTCAAAGCAATAGGAGTGAACTTCCTCTTTACCACTCCATGATATTTTCCTGTTATCCACAGTCACTCAGCTACTGATAAAGTTCTTCCACAGCTGGCTTCAGTGAAACATTCAGACACACACACACACATCCCCAGCTGTCTCCAAGGTGCTTTTTCAAAAGGCAACTGGACTTTGGTTTTTCCTTGAGGAAGACATTTTGCTTCTCATCCAAGAAGCTTCTTCAGAAGCGAAACGTCTTCAAATAAAAGCAAAGAAAGAAAGTCCAGTTGCCTTTTGAAAAAGCACCTTTGAGACAACCATGACCTGGATGACTGAGAAACTCCACAGACACCCCACAGCTGTTCAGAGAAATTGTTCTGCTTCTGTTTCACACATGACTGGCTAACAGAAGATGCAATTGCAGCCAGGATAGGACTTCCAATGGAAGCTAGTGTGAGGGCTTCCGTCTCCCACTACTCACTTCCACTGAATACTGTTCTTCGATTTCTTCTCGATTAATCCAATGCCCTCGAGGACATTTGTAATATCATAAATACGTCTCTTTTGCCGCACTGCCAGAGTATCTGCTGCCTGTAAAGGCAAACAAACAAAAAAGAGGTGAGTTCAAAGGCACCAGAGTGTAAAAAAATACCTGGAGCATCACAACACAAAAGCTATGTTAATGACATCCTACCCTGTTGGCGAACTTTCTTAAGGACTCTACCTCAATTGCTCAGGACAGTCTGTTTTAAAACTGAAAAGTGCCAATCTGTTTTAGGAATGAGTATTGTGGTGTGAAACTGTCAAAAGTTATCACCAGATCTAACACTGTACAAAGCAGCTGCAACCACCACAAAATGGAGCATCTCATACAAAAATGAACTATTGCTCAGATTAGACGAATGTGCTTACTGCTTTGTCAATTCATCGACAACGGTTGCTAATCAAGAATGGCCCACAATCTTGTTCCTTGGGCTATTTATTTGTTTGGATTCCATTTTAATTTGTTTCCGGCATGCTGCTGCAAATTTAGTTCATTACTTGACATGGTTGAATCGTTTTTCTTTTATCCTGGCTACGTATATAGATACTGAAATGACAGTGCTGTGCCAGTGAACTTGACCCACTTTTTATTTTCCTGCAATGCATTAGATGAAAGTACCGTCCTGTAGTGGCTATTCACAACACGCTTTTCTATTAGTTGAACAAGAATTACCCACAGATATATAGATTTATAGATTAAATTTTTACGATGCCAAAGAATTGTTTTCACCACAAAAAGTAACATACCTATGCTTTGGATTTGACAAAGCCTGTCCATACTTCCTTAGAAGCTGAACCTACTGAAGGCAAATGAATTTATTTCTAAATAAACACACATCAGGTTTTGTGCTACCATGATAATTATAAATGGCATTGGCAACACTTCTTATCACTGTTTCCTTTTGGAATAATAAATACTGTCCAGAAACCACAAGTTGCTGTTGTTAATTTATTCAACAGAGGGCTAGAAACTTGTGGCCCTCCCATTTTGAACTGTAACTCTCAAGACCCAGCCAGCATGGCTATTGGCGAAGGAGGCTACACGTTCAGCATCAAAAGGGCCATATTTCCCATCTATGATTCACATGGGGATTCAGTCATATATGTCACCCATGCTCTGTTAAACCCCAACTGTGGTTCACAGTAGAAGAAGCAACTTCCTGCCCAGGTTTTTGCTCTGGGTTTCCTATGTATGCTCCTGGGTAGGAAAAAAAAAATCTACTCCCCGGCTACAACATGTTCTTAATTTCAAGAAGCTTGGGACTCTTCGTTCCCATATAATGCAGCAGAATAAAGATTTCTACGGAAATTAAACCCTTCCAGCCTGTACAGGAACCCAAAGCTGCTGCAAGTCCCGCCGTTCTTCATCACCCCTAGGGACCTCTTCTACCTGCAAGTAGGCTAAACACGGGCAACGGCTTTGCTGCTGCCCACCCATCCACACCAACGCCATTCGGCTGAGGTTGTGCCTCGGCAAGCACGCAGGTGGCGGATGGGAGGTGTAGGAGAAAAGCGAAAGAACGTGCTCCCACCAGCTGGCAGATGGGGGCAAAAGAAAGAATCAAAGCAAACGCCAGTCCAAAGAGGGTGCCAGCCAGGCCCCAAAGATGCTGGATGAGAGAGAGAAAAGAAGTATTTCTAGCAGGACTACTAGACTCTGCAACAGCTTTGTTCCTGATGCCATCCATCTTGTAAATTTGCAGGATTCTTTTTTTTTCCTCGCCAGGTATATGTATACATCCGAACTAGACTGAGTGCTTTCTGTGTCATATATGTGTGTGTGTATGTGGGTATATGCATAATCCTTTGCCACGTTTATGTAGTGTATATTGGAGGTGGTTACCCTCTGAGAGCTGAAGGCAATGAAGTTTCATTTTAACGCATGCCAATGAGTGTACATTTAAAGTGACAATAAAGCTATTATTCTATTCTATTTGCTCATTGCAAGTAGAGATGGACTGAAGACCCCAAGCACACCAGAGGTGTCGTTGCGCCCCCCCCCCCCAGTGACCGAGTCACGTTCAAACAGAAGCCGTGTCAATACGACTAAACAGGGAACACGTGCACGGGCGCACACGCATGCACACAGGAAAAAGCCACACGCCGCCGGGGCAAAGGATGCTGCTGCCCGCCCGGCAGGCTGAGCCTGCCTCTCGCCTCTTCCAAGCACCCTCGGCTCCCTCGCCCGGCTTTGCACCACCACCACCAAGCACCCCTTTCCAGGTCGCAGCCTCCTTCCCCGGGCGGATGGGACTTGTAGTCCTCGGCCTCCGAACTGGTGGAAGGGAGAAAAGACCGGCCAGCAAATCCTCCCCCCCAACACACACACACACACACACACACACACACACACATTTATGGCCAGGGGAGCCCGAGTCCTCCTTGGAGGCTGCGGCAGAGCCTGGCCGGGGGAGGCGGTGGAGCCCCCGCGCAGGATGATGGGCCTTGTAGTCCTGCCTCCTGCAAAGACGGCGGCTCTCCCTGCCGGAGGAGGGAGCCGAGGGCTGCTCTCCGGGCGGCTTCCTCGCCTCGCCCCCCCGACCCGCGTCCCCCCCCCGCCGGGCTCACCAGCTTCAGGTCGAGCACGCCGTCCTTGGCCTCCTGCAGCAGCGAGACGAACTTGGTGGTGAGCAGCCCCAGGCTCTTCTCGTGCCGGCTCGGCGCGCCCCCCGGCGGCTGCGGCCCGGGCTCCGCCATCCGGACGGCTCACACCTGCCGCCCCCGCCGCCGCCGCCGGTGTGCGGATCCCAGCGCTCCGCCGCGGCCCCCGCGCGCTGGCCCCCTCCGCCGCTTCCGGCCGCCGCGGGGCATGACGGGAGGGGGAGGAGCGAGGGTCTCCATCTTGAGAGGGGGAGGGCGGGGCCTCGCGGGCCGCCTCCCCGCCCTCTTCTCGAAGCCCCGCCCCCTCCAACCGGCTTTTCTGGTTTGGTCTTCTCTATTCCGCGGGAAGAGAGAGTGTCTCTTTCTCTCTCTCTCTGTGTGTATGTATAGCGACGCCTACTGGCCAAGAGACGAAAAGACTCGGCGGAGCCCTCCCTCTTTGCAATGCTCGCTCGTGAAGAAACGAGCGTCCCTGCTGTGTTGCAGAGTGTCCCATAATCCCCAGCCGGCATGGATGCTTTGCGATACTAATGTAGTAAAATGAACAATTATTAGAATTTATTTATTTATTTATTTATTTATTTTATTAAATTTATATCCCGCCCTTCTCCTTGCGGACTCAGGGCGGCTAACAATCAAGTAAAAAGTACACAGATAACATTACAAGTTTAAAAATTAATTAAAAGGAAATATTTAACTGTGATCTAATTAAAATATAATTAAAACCCCTTCTAAAAATTTCCCCTAGGCCAGTCCTGCAAGCTGGAATAACGATTTGTCTGCGTAACTGCAATAATGATGTGTCTGCATAATTGCTCGAATAATGAGGTAATGCATAATCACTGGGAAAATTCACTGGGAAAGTTCTGTGTCAGTAATATGTGGCTAACCAAATGCGCTCTGCACATGGATACTTTGTATGTAGCAAAACCTTCCATTGTATGCCTGTGAGAAACGCTCCTAATGTATCACGGTGTATTATCATGTGTAGTCCCTTTGTTTCTGAAAGGAGGGTAGTATAAAAACTGAAGTCTAATCCCGCCCTCCTCATTCAGAATTGCCTATCTCTAATATGCCTCTGAACCTTGCGCAAATAAACTTCTCTGCTAAACCCCTCTGGAATTCGTAAGAGTTCTTTCGTTTTCCACAAGAATACAGTTCTCATCCTCCTCCAACCGGCATAGCCAAAGGCCTGTGGACTGAAGCCGAAAGGGCTTGCCAAACTGAACTTGACAAAAGGCAGGACAAAAATAAAACAATAATGGTTAATAGTGTAGTGGTTAAGACAGGGGTAGGCAACCTTGGCTCTTTTATGACTCGTGGACCTCAACTCCCACGAGTCATAAAAGAGCCAAGGTTGCCTGCCCCCTGGGTTAAGACATCCGTATACAGCTCAGGAGTCCTGGATTTGTTCTACTTTGAGGACAAAGTCAGCTGGGTGACCTTGAGCTGGTCCCTCTTACTCAACCCATTTGTAAATTTCCTCCCTTTTTATCAAGAGAAGAGATAGGTGTCCTGCATTCTATTACCATATAAGTTGAAGATGCTCTTTTTCTTCTCAGACAGAATAATTTAATCAACCTGAATAGATAAAAGTTCCAAAACAGAACCACACGATATGTGAATATTTTCAGTTAGGCCCTTTCTACAGAGCGGTACCCGTGTTATTTTCCACACCATTCTTATATCTCAAAACTCTGCTTCCCACCCTGAAATGCAGCACAAAAAATTAAGCTTGCGAATTGTTATACCTAGAGTTATCTGAGAATTACGTAACTTAATTGCATTGCTATGTACCAGTAGTCAGATAACTAGACTTTCCTATCTCTTGCAACTATTGATCTTCAAGTCAGCAGGAAACGGAAAACATGCATGTTAACAGAAGGAGGGAGGGAGGGAGAGAGAGAGAGAGGGAGAGAGAGAGAGAGAGAGAGAATGCAAAACTCCAAGGACAGCGTTCAGGGAATAAAATACTGAATTTGTAAGATATTGCTATGTTTTAGAAATCTCTTTGGGAAAAGTATTGTTACTATGTAATAGTTGCATATAAAGTATCCCTTCTGCCCTGTTTATTTTTGCAAACTTAGTGTTACATTGCACAGAATCTGGGAACAAATATCTTGGAATGCACATTCTTCATAAGAAAATGTGCTTATTCCTGAGAAGTAGGCATACATAAGGGATGTTTCTACATTGGGCCCAAGTTGGCAGTGTAATTGACCAACTCTACCCTTGTAATTGACTAATGCCATGACATTTTAACATTTTTGGTTTACAATCTGTTGTGACTGATCCAGGGGGAATTTGCAGAAAAGAAGAACATTAAATAAATTTTAATTAATGGAAAGAAGGATACCAACATGGTTTTAAGGAGCATATCCTGTCTGAGAAGAAAGAAGTATATTTGACTTATTTGGTAATAGAACACATGGGACACATATCTCTTGTCTTAATAAAAATGGACAAAATTTGCATGTCTATGGAGATTCTCAGTCTTCCAGGTCATAACTGTCTCAGTGGTGCTTTTTCAAAAAGGCAAATAGAACTATTTTTTCCTGGAGGAGGAAGAAGACCTTTTACCTCATCATAGAATAGAATAGAATAGAATAGAATAGAATAGAATAGAATAGAATGGAATGGAATGGAATGGAATGGGATAATGAATAGAATAGAATAGAATACAATACAATACAATACAATACAATACAATACAATACAATTCTTTATAGGCCAAGTGTGATTGGCACACAAGGAATTTGTCTCCCGGTGCAGAAGCTTTCAATGTACATGCAAAGCAATTGAGTAATAATAACCATAATAATAATACCAATAAGAGGTAGTAGTAAAGAATAAAGGATAATAACACCACAACCATACAACATAGAATTAGATGTTGTAATAGCTATAATTATAATTAGACATAGAACAGTACTGTGAGGATTAGGTGTTCCGCCGAGTGATGGCACGAAGAACATCTGTCCCTGTGTCTAGTCGTTTTGGCATGCAAAGCCCTATAGCATCTTCCTGAGGGGTGGGAGTTGAAGCAGTTTATGTCCAGGAGGTGAGGGGTCTGTAGATATTTTCTCAGCCCTCTTTCTAACTCAATATAAAGGTCCTCAATGGAAGGCAGGCTGGTTGCAATTTTTTTTTTCCCCCTGCAGTCCTAACTATCCATTGGAGTCTGTACCTGCCCCCCTTGCTTGCTATACCAGACCAGAAAGTTATTGAAGTACAAATGACAGACTCAAAGATTCATCAGTTGAATCTTCAGGTCCATACCGATGAAGCTTCTTGGATGAGAAGCAAAATATCTTTTTAATAATAACAATAACAATAATAATAACAACAATAATAATAATAACAATAATAATAATAATAATAATAATAATAATAATAATAATAATAATAATAATAATAATAAAGTTGGAAGGGACCTTGGAGGTCATCTAGTCCAACCCCCTGCTCAGGCAGGAAATCCTAGACCATTTCAGACAATTAACTGTCCAGTCTTTTCTTAAAAACTTCCAGTGTTCTTCTGTTCCAGTATTTGAGAGGCTGCCACAAAGAGGAGGGGGGTCAATTTATTTTCCAAAGCACCAGAAGGCAGGACAAGAAACAATGGATGGAAACTGATCAATGAGAGAAGCAACCTTGAATTAAGGAGAAACTTCCTAACAATGAGGACAATTAACCAGTGGAACAGACATGCCTTCAAATGTTGTGGGTGCTTCATCACTGGAGGTTTTTAAGAAGAGACTGGACAATCACTTGTCTGAAATGGTATAGAATCTCCTGCTTGAGCAGGGGGCTGGACTAGAAGACCTCCAAGGTCCCTTCCAGCTCTATTCTGATTCTGATTTTTCTTCTTCCTCCAGGGGAAAAAAAACATTCCAGTTGCCTTTTTGAAAAAGCATCTTCGGAGGAAATTTACATTTTTTTTCTATTGATGCATTAGGTCAGCTCCAGAGTTGGCATAATCCAACACACAGTCTCTTGAGCACTGTGTTAGTTGGCCTGAATGTTTAGAAATAAAACAAAATATTCGTGAAGAAACTGCATCTGCAGGCATGGCCTGTGCAAAGCAGAATGAGAAAGATCTCTGGATCCTGGCAAAGGGGAGGCATGGATGCTTGCTGTGGTCAAAAGCCAGCAGCGGCATTGATGCACAGAGCTATTTTGTGCTGCTTCATCTGCATTCCCAAAGAATGAAACTGACCGGTAGATTTACTGTTTCCCCCCCCCCCCCGCCTTCCTATTCCAACATCCTGAGTGTTTTTGCTTCAGTGTTATAGAGCAAACCCCCAAGGAGTCATGAGGAGTATTAACTGACGGAAACGCTATTCACTGCCTCGGCTTCCTCTGCTCAGCCCC